TACAGCAGTCTTGAATCTGTTGCGCAAATGCGACAATCGAATCGCCCTGTCTTGTCCTGCGGTCGTTACACGCGGACGACCGCTCCTGGGACGATTGGAAACTAACCCAGTACATGTAGCACGGAAACGTGTACAGAGACGGTTAATTGTACGCGGGCCAACACCAAACTGCCGTGCGACAGCAGTTTGGCTATGACCATCCATCAACATCGCAATTGCTCTACCCCTCTGAATTTGCGTTAAGCGTGGCATCTCAGTCAATGGCGAAATCAAAATGCCAACTTGGACAATTAATGTGGCTGAACTTTGAGTATCCGTTGAGATTATTTGTTTGAAAAACTCCGGCTTGGCTTGATCACGCCTCTTGATTCGGACTAAAGAAGCTCACAAAGTCACGCAATGACATCGTCACGCTTGGCTGATTTTAGGGTAGATTGTTGAGAAGAGAGATCGTTCTTGATGTAATACCTGACCAAATATTCCATTATTACCTTACAGCTAAGGTGTACTGCAGGGGGGAACTTTGTGCGTTTCATTTTTTTTGTTCAGTATATATTAAAGGTTGACGTCATTTGACGCGTTTTACGTACATCTGTTGTAGACTGTTGACTTAGTGTTCCACTCCTCCGTAGTAGAAGATGCTGATCCCCCTGCCTGTAGTATTGGATGGAACGGTACCTACCTCGTTCCCCGGGCTTCAAATATACCAGACCAGTCCCTGCTCCCGGGCTGTATGACTGGTGACTCCAGGGAGGGCTATCACATGACTTACTACTGGTTCCATATTTTGGAGTGGTCTTTTTAGTGATTTTGTTTTGAATAAACATACTGTAAACAAACACGTTTTTGATCCGACTCATATTTTAGCACATTATTACGTTTTCGCAGATGAGTGCAATGATGCAGTCGCGTACGATTCATGCAGTAACAGTTATTTATTGAAACTCCAATTCACGCAGTTATAATTTAGCGCAATATAAAGAGCGCGGAAAGCGCTAAATTCAAAATACTGTTATAATATGTTACGTATGCAGTATGTTCCTTGCTTTGAATTATTTTATATCTACAGATGTATCAAGTAGAAAATAAAGTTGATTATGACATAGAAGATAGCGATTCCTCAACGAAAGATGGTTACAGGTTTTAATACAGGGTAAGTATATTAACCAAAATATACCTAAAACTTAACCGAAACATTTCTGCACGGAGTGCAACTTTTGCTTAACAAGCTGGAAATCAATTTCATATAGGAAGGCATATCCCTTTATCATAAACTATTTAATGCATTCATGAAGTTCCCACTACACAATAACTTCGTGATGTCTGCTCTTAATATGAAGAACTGTCATCTATGTATTAATTTTTAATAAGGGGTGACATGTACGTGAAATCGTGTTTGCTTCCAATACATTTGGTGAATTACTGAAGAGGTGTTAAATGTATTGTGTTGTGCTGAGTATTTTAAATTCCAGTTTGCACATATTTGTTTTTAAGTTTCAGACTTTTAGATTGGTTAACATACAATGTTGATGCAATGTTGGAATATGGTATGCTTTGAACATTATCACCTGACCTTTTATAATTAATACAAATGCCAAATGAAAACAGCAACAACCATGAAGCAAGATTGCTGTTTTCTAGAGACCACCAAGTACGATATTTGGATTTTTATGGCGGTTCAACGAAGAAACTACATGTATATGCTCTTCACAGATAAGAATATCGGATGAACAAAAGATAATTCAATTCTGTTGGATAACATTTATTGAAGAACCATTCTTTTTAAACAACCTTACATTTGACAACAATTTTGGGTCGAAATCGCTCAGAAATGTTCCGCAACAACAGAATGTTTTATATATAGCACTGCGGTTGAAATCAATAACAATGAAAAATACGTCAATTTAATATGAAAGTATAAATAATTACTGATCAATATAATTCATAGATTAACATTGAAGGAGTAACAAAACAGCACGTTATCGTCGTGGTTACCGAACTGGTATAAAATAAAATACTCTTACAGAAACTGTATTCTCCCAACGTTTGGTATTTTTGTTTTGTTTAGTTACATCAGCGTCATTATCTTTGATGGAAGAAGAACTCAAGTTTAGGATATATGTGTGTATCAATACGAAAAATGCTTATTAATAATGGATTTCCTTTCCGCCAACAAAATACAGTTTTACATTATTTTCCGTAGAAGAGTTCAATCTACTAAAATTCACATACTGAATTTCTTCTTCCATTCAAAGACTATGGAGAGATGTTTGTATCGCACACCAATCTTTATTTAATTTAAATTGCTTTGTTACCTTCAAAATACATCATATCCAGTTCGGATGTATTAGTTTAATCTTATATGCGTTTTTAAAGCGGTGTATTGACCGTCTTCTGTCGTTTACTTCCACTGGGATGTCTATACCAGTGGTCTAACTCCTCAACTGTGGTCGGGAGCTCACGGCCTGATGTCTCGGACAACAGAGGTAAAAGTATCGTCACTGTTAGACACATTATTCCAAATACTGCACCTGGGGCCCAACTTACTCTTTCAGCCTGAAATATCACAAACGTTCGCAGTATATTATTTATCTTATACAAATACTAATAAATGTGTGGATGAGTTAAGGAATGTATATGTTTACTGTGAAATATGAGGACGGAATTGGTGTGGAGGTTTTCCAACAACAAATGCGCACTTATTGTTTTGTTTACGCTTCGGTATATCTCAGTTGCTCCCTTATGCATGGAAGATTGTATAACCCCTTTGAGGTTCTGATCAGAAACAAACTGCTTGCCCCTATTTGAAGATTCATTTTTAAAAATAATTGTGGTCTCATGGAACTCACTTACGATAGCTGATGTGACAAACTTCAGAAAATGTTCAATCGTTGTCATTTGATATTATTTAAAGAGTTATAAGTACAAAGGACACAAATATGTTATATTCAAACAATCTCATCAGTGATGATAGTTTTACAACAATGAAAGACAAAAAGGTCAAAAGGAATATTCCAATTAAGGTTCAGAGATAAAGCAATGCTCAATATGTACCCACCAGTGGACCAGCAAACGGTGCCAACATTCCACCAATTCGTCCAGCAGCGGAGTTTTAATTCCTACGACGATAATGCAAAAATAAAAGGTATGAACAGTGCACCCGAATTGAAACTAGAAAATAGTTGCCCTGTGTTAACGAACTGCTGCCGGGTGTCCACGAATAAATATTTCCCTCGTCTCTACGGAATCGTAGTGCATATATGTAGCTATTGACATTCTTGCTAAACCAAACATTGCTACTTTTATCAGAGTGGTGTATTCAATATGTATACAGAAAGTATCACGTAGGAATAGTCATTCGCAAATATTTCTTCAAGTATGATTTGATATGTGTAAATTTCCGTTTCGTGATCTTTTTGTAATGAAGATGTTCAATGTCGTACGACACGAAACAAAATAATTTGCGAAAAAAAAACTATTTAGAATATATACACGGGATCTTCCACCCCATGAATCTTGGTAAAATCTATAAAGGGATTCAATCATTGAAATCTTTCAAATAATTTGAGCTTTATTAAATATAAATAGCTCTTTTTAGAGATACGCGTCAACAAATTTTAAAGGGCAAAATAATAAAAAAAAACACAACAACACCCCAACTCGGGTAGTCTCACTAAATCACGATCCTGTACTAAAATATATAACATGCCTTCAACATGTAGTATGCATGGAATAGTCAGCCATTTGGAACTAGCTGAAAGGTAAGTTTGCGACATTATTATGGCTACAATCAGCATATCTATGAACAGTAAAAGAAGTTAAAGTAGATACTAACAAAACTTGACTCAGGTGATTGCTAATTCAAAAACCACTATCGGTTGTTCCCTTTTTCTTGACTGCATATTGGTCCATTATATAAATTCTTGAACACTTCATTTACAAATAATTTCTTACATAAATTGTATAATCGAACTCAAATGACTCAAATACCCCCATTAATTTATTTCACCTACCATTTTGGAACCATAGAAAACTAAAAATATGTGTTTACATGATTTTCAAGTAAATATTCTTCAATATTCGCAAGTTTTACAAAACTGTTTTTAAGTCGAATTACGTTGCACATGACAAGTCGAATTACGTTGCTCATGATTGATAAATGAATATACTTTTCAGCGACATAAAATAGAAATGTGTTGAATACATATCTTATAATTCGTTAGCATAATAAATATTCATGCTTAATAAGCTATTTATTAATCTTTGAAAGTCCTACACAATTTATTCTCTTGAAAACAAAACACTTAAATATAACTCGACGCTGTATACATATATGTATATGTTTCACTTTGTCCATGATAAGATAAATATTGTAAATAAAATGTTTACCTGAGATTCGTAGGGTAGAGCTCCGGAGTCAGGAGGAATATCGTACTAAATGACCCAGATATACCAAGCTTTCCCAGAAAATAGAATATCATCAATGCTATTTTGGCGCCTGCTCTCTCTAAAATTAAAATCGAAAATTAAAGTTAACTTTGTTTTTACAAACTTATCCCGTTCTCTTACGCTCAGGGACAAAAAAAGTTTTACAAAAGTTTGTGTTTTACATATATCTTGGGACTTCATAAATCACAGTTTAGGAATGCTCTCTGTTAATTCTTAAGATGAAACTGTAAAATTGAAAATTTTCGCGGTGTGGATATGTTCGCGTTTTTTTGCGTTGTGTTAATGAGTGTGAAAATATTCACATGCAATATCTATTAATGTACGATATATATTATAGATATATAGAATATATCGATTTTTTAATCATTGCCAACGCGAATATTTCCACATTGCGATCATATTGAAGAGTAATAGCGCAAACATTTCCCCGCGCGAAAATATCCACTTTTACAGTACATTAATTTTAATGAAATTCTTCTTTTCGAAAGATAACTTTAAATTGAAAATCAAAGCCGAAATATTTCCCCGCGTCTCCTAATGGGTATTATAGGGTTAAAACTGTCTGTACCAGACATCCTTATGAAACAACATTCTATTGTTCTGAGTGTACGGATTTTCATGTGTTCTGCGTTTACATATAAATGTTTGGTGTTCTGTTTCACTGGTTTGACCGTGAAATATTTTTAATTGAACAATGATTAAACACTTGGAGTGGGAAAAGTTCTAGCTAACATTGTTGTTCATACACGTTAACATTAATTTCTAATTAATATTTTTTAACATTACACCTACCTGAAAAGTAGTTTGCTATAGTTCCCGCAATGAGCGACACAGCTGCCAGGGCATGGAACAGAATACATATTCTTTTCCTCCCAAACCTGAACAAGATGATTTCAATATTTAAATAAAATTTAGAAAAAAAAAATCCTTCAATAAAATATATAATACAGTAATATTTGTATTGTTAGTGTTTATATATTTCACGGTGGCGAAGTGATATGTAAATATAGACCTATACAAGTTTCTAAGTTGTAGCAATGGTATTTGGCATGTATTGAAGCAGTGTTACGTTAGTTCCAATTTGAAATAGCAACAGCTTGATACCTTCCGATTGCATTCTGTTAGACTTTGATGTAAATTGACGGGTCCATTTTTCACGGTCTTCTTTATTTTTATGAATAATAAAGAATAAGCAATTTTAATAGCGTTGATATGAGACAGAGCAAGCATTTTACTTACTTATTCAATGTAAAGTACTCTATAACTGCCACAGGATATTCCGCTAAAGAGAGGAGTAAAAAGCTCAAGTAGCGATCGAGAGGCAGGGAAGCAGACGACAAAACAAGCCCGTAGTACGTCAAACTATTCACAGCCCTGTAAGAAAAAAAAAGTAAACAAGTAATCCTTGTAAACTAGTGATTAGTTTGGTGTACATGGTTTAATGTACTTAAACAGTTAATTGTCGCTTTAGGACGTGTCTCCAAACCAGTTGTAGCCTTTACCTTAAATAACAGCTACCATTGCTTCTGACTTTGGAATTTCTATGCCTGGGGACATTATCCATTGCCTTCATCACATCTAGTGCAGGTTTTGCAGAATTGTCTATACTTCGGCCAATATAAAAGATATACAGTAGAATATCTATCATTTATCACATAATGTACTGTGTAATCCAGTGAATATTACCCATGTAATATTTTTTGCATTTAATATGACCTATCAGGCCTGTGATTGGTTGTAAATTTCAATTGTTTCGATTGTGACGTCACGCCTAGGACAAGTACATGACGTCACAGACTTACGCACTGGAGTCAAAATGGCGACTTTTTACATTTCAATGTTGCATGATAATTGTCGTTTTACATAAATAAATGCCACAAGTCTTGATTATGTGATAAAAAGGATCGTACTATCGTTTTCATTTCATATGAAAATACTATGGCGTTGTTAGGAATGCTACAAATGAGTTTAACTTTAGAGCGTTGATGTCAACGACACAATCGTGATGCTTTTTGCTCGTTTGTTTAACGAACATGGACTAAGATGCCTACTAAAGTATTTGAGTGTTATTTTCCTAAAACCTGTCCATTTGGCTATGAATACGTAAGCAATATAAGAAGAGGAGGTAAACCCATCTATGGTTGTTTAAAAAAAAGTATTATAACATTGCAACCAATGCATCACAGCTATTTATCTTACCAAGACGACGTCAAATAGTGAGTGATGACGTCTTATGCGTCGGCACCTTATGGGTTAAATTGTTCAAAAGGTGAATAGCTTTTTTATATTTTACTTTTTTTTGTGTATTTTTAAAGCTCACCCATTAACTGAGTAAAATCTTTCAAAATAGGAAATATTTTAGAAGAGTAAAATTACTTGCAAAATAACGAGGTTTTACCTTGTATATTGATCAAATTGTTAAAGAATAATAAAAATGTCGTTAAGTAGTCTTTAAGCTTATCACATTTTGAACAACTTGACCAAGGTGTATTAGACTTGCACAAGTCCGATAATTTCGATACCATCAAAATGGTCAAAATGTCATTGAATGTAAATACGAGGAACGAATCCTTAAATAAAAGACTCGCTTACCAAGTATACGACATGATGATGGTGATCATCGCTATTCTCCGCCGTGTAAACAATGTCAGTACCGTGTATTTTGGTAGGGCAGAGTTGGATGGGTCCTGGATATCTTCTCTTCGTCTTTCACCTTTTTCATCGTGTGTATTCCCACTTTCGTCTTGTTTCAAAACCAGTGGTTGTGATGAAGAGGCGTAATCTATTATCCGAAGGACATCGCTTTCGTTGACTTTATTCATTTTTGCAGCCTTCTTCAATATTGCCTTAGCTTCCTCTATCTTATCATTAGCCAAAAGCCAGCGAACAGATTCGTGATATAGCCTGTGTCGAAAAAATGTGACATATCTTTTTTATTTTCGGAATTTGTAATTTCTTTGTTAGTGCAAAAGATAGAACAATATAGCATGTTACAAGCAACTGTGCTTAACGAAACATCATCGTAAATATTCTTAACGTTCGGAATCGACAAATTTCTTCATAGTTAGTAAACAAACATATTTTATATAAAATACAATATACAATGAAATGTATTAAATATTTTTTTCAATATAATTCAGAATTCGATTAAGTGGGTCTATTGACACGACTTTGAATACATATATAATAATTATCGTTTCCCGTAGTAGTTTTCTAGCTTAATTTTGTTTTGACCTGATACGTACATAATATGTGCAAAGTCCTCATAGTAATAAAAAAAAAATGAAATATTCAAATATTTTCATATTGTTACTTACATTATAATTAAACGTAATCAAGACAAAAACAAGCTTAGACAGGAACAAAAGTGATTGAGCAAGAATTGAATCGCAATGTAGATTAGCTAGATTATGATGCGTCTATATTGTTATTTCAATGAAACTGTTTGATGTTTGTGTCTTTTTCCATAAACGAATTGTCTATAAACGTAAGGCAAAAGGTAAGCGTACATATTTCAGCGGTATTCCTTTTTTTTAATATTTTAAGTTTTTAATATTGATTACGCTGATTGAAGGTCTTGTATCATCTAGTTTTCAGTTGTATAAATGGACAGTACGCCACGTGATCAATGTGCAAATAAGTTAAAAATCGATTGTACGCTGAATTTAAAGTCCGAAAAAATAAGTGATTTCTAAGTATTATGTTTTCCGCACTGTCAGACCCACTGTAACATTTCTAGGTATATACAAATATCGATTTAGGTGCACACTCTCAAGAAAAATCCGTTTGTTCGGACCCCCTGTGATGTTCATATTGGATATCACTGTCGTAATTGTTTGGTAAAAAATGAATTTGAAAGATTGTCTGGACACAAATAAAGGATACAATTTGGTTACCATAGCAATTTGGTTACCATAGTTATTTGGTTACATTGCTATTGGTTACCATAGCATTATAATCCAAACAATATGTGTTGTATACACACCAATAGCCGACAAGACTGTATGCAGAGTACATTGTCATGATAAGGTAGGTGTTTCGCCACGAGAGGTTCCGAAGGAGGTAAGCAACTGGAGCTATTACGATGATGCCGCATGTCCAGAAAGTTACCCCGAGTACTTCAGTCATGTATCTGGATTCTGCCGGAAGTAGTTCAATAGTCATCACTGTCCGAGTCATAGACACTCCCTGTTATTTTGGGAGAAATGTTTTTTCTTTGTTATTAGAAGCTAAATTATATCAAGCACAAGTTTGTATTATACCTGTTTAACCCTTTCACCACTGTGGGCCATAATGGGTTCATCCAGGTCAATGCATGTTAGAGTTAACTAAAGTTGGATAGGGGTGAAAGAGTTAACATGCGTTTACCGCGATAAATAAAAAAAGAAATACCACCAAGGCCACTTCGTGTTTATTGAAACTATTATAGAATTCGTATTTAAATTCTTTCTTACATTGTAGGATATTGCAACAGTATCCACAATGCTTTAATTCAAATGATTCGAGTTATGAACATTGCACAAATAGGGTAAAGTTATTGGAACATATGATTATCGGATCAACAAATGTGCACACTTTTGTTGCAAATTCATCCACTTTGGCACACACTTTCTACCCAATCGATTACAGTGTAATAAAAACAGGAGTCATCAAAATTATAAAGAAACATGATTGTAATATGCGCCTCCTTTTCATAAGAGTTCTTCACCCGGAAATGTATTATTATTATTTACGACAGGAAAATGCAGCAAAGCTGCTGGACACCAGATCTTTAAATGAAAATCACTTACTGACAGTCCAACAACCACGAGGAACACATACTGCATACTTTAATTTATTCTCCGACTATTAATGGCATTAATTTTAATGTTCAGAATGTTCTGCTCACGCCCAATATCCTCACATATTGCTTTATTGTCACTTAGAAATTTTACCAAGGCAAGAAAACGTCCAATTTTAACTGCATGTTAGATGTCAACAACTGACGCTTTCTCAGAAAATAACGACATTTTCTGAGAGAGAAGATGCAGAACATGATGAACGAAAATTACAATTTATACCTGCCGCAATTTTTACAAAGATTTCATTTGATAATACACTTTTAGATAAACTATTAACTGTCTTCTGGGTTAAGGTGTTAGTCACAGCCGATTTTGAGTTGAATTTTTCATTTATAACTGGTGGAGGGTACTTGTCAAAGAAATTGTTACCTCTCGAGTCTTAAACGAAAACAAACTCCGCCATGACGCTAGTTTTCTGGTTGTTATTGAATATTTGTTTTAAACGGGTGAAGTACATATCTAGTGTTTAACGGTAAAATTATACCATTTTCTTTTTATAACACTTTTTAAGTAGCTCGACTTAAATATTGACGTTGGTTATATATACTTGTACGAAAATAGTTTTCATACCACAAATGTATATTCTGTTTTCATGCCGTCTACAAACATGTCTACAATATCCTTTAAACTCGGACCTTTCATGAATTCATGAATACGTACATGTGCAAATTCTCTGACGGCTCCTTCGTGTTTGTTCATGATTATGTTCGGGCTAATATCAAATCTTATCCGATTTAATTTCGTGTCCATAAATGCCCTTTCACATTTGCAATTATTTTTACACACGATAGCTTTCGTGTTTTTTCATAGTACAAACGGTTTTACATCCATGTTGTCACTCATGTTACATTTTTGAATCTACATCCGTGTCGGCTTTCACGTATGAAAGTTTGAGTTTATGCTCATTCATGATTTCATTGATGTACATATTTTTGTCATCATTTTTGTTACAATATATATGCTCATCCGTGTATTTACTCATATTTAATTAACATTATCTGTCTGACTTAAACAGGGTGTCCATATCATGCGATACGACTAGTTGATCACCCGCAAACACAATGTCATTTTTGTTTTTTCGATGTTGTGTAACTGTGGCAAATGTGTTTATATTGTTCCCTACCTCTTGTCTTTCATTCCCCACTCTTTGTTCCCCTCGCTCTTACCTTTTAGTTATCCTGGTTATCTGGCAGTCGTACACGTAACAATAACAGAACTATCCGTTAGCAGTCTCCATGTCCATACTTCATACTTTTTCTATCGCTCATGACGGGGTGCTCATTATCCACATGGAGATGTGCTTTCGGACTATATTACTCTAAACAAACCCATTTAAACAAAACGTACAGATTCCACAACAACACTTATTCCTGTTACGATATATTTAAGCTACATTTTATATATTTGCCTGTAGCAGTTGTTTTTATTGTTTTTCTACAGACATATAGCAACCCAAACAACATCGCCCTTTTCTTAATCTTAATCTTACTTCTGTCAGGGGATATACATACAAATCCAGGACCAGCAGACAGTTATCTAACGACTTCGACTCCGACAATATATCCTTTTCTGTTTCTGACGATAACTCATTAAAAATCATGCATTTGAATATTCGAAGCGTTAGAAATAAAATTATTTTCTTGAGAGTTTTACCGATGACGTAGACATATTGTGCTTAACAGAAACACATCTCGATCCTTCTATCCCTGATTCTGACCTACTTCTTACTAACTTCTCAACAATATTTAGAAAAGACAGGAACGCTTTTGGTGGCGATATTGTGATTTTTTCAACTTAAGACATACTGCCTAAACGCAGACTTGATATTGAATCACCGAATGACGAAATAATTTGGATTGAATTTTGTACTGATAATAAGAAATATCTTCTATGGGTACTATACAAACCTCCATGGAAAAATACTAACTCTGGAATTTGGACTCTACTGAAACATTCTTTTGACATAGCTTTTGACTACACACCTCAGGTTATATTAACACAGGATACTAACATTGACTTATTAACAGGAAATAACATCTAAGCATTGTAACACAGCAATATAATTTAACTAACCTGATTACCAGTCCAACTAGAGTAACAAATACTACACAATCCCTTATAGACCCATACAAAATGATATCCAATAAAATATCTGCACCCCTTACACTTCTATTCAACGAATCCTTTCGTACTTCTGTATTTCCTGATTCATGAAAATTTGCCCATGTGACACCTATTTTCAAAAAAGGGGAATCTGAATTGGCAAATAACTACAGACCCGTTTCTTTACTTAGCTGCATTGGCAAACTCTATAACTATTTCTTCAGCAACAAACTTCTATATACTTTACAGTCCATCTTCTTACCAAATCACTCTACAACTCACCAACTCATCGAACTCTATCATAGCATACTTACAGCACTGAAGAATCGTGAAATGCTGCTCTTGTTTTTTGTGACTTTTCTAAAGCTTTCGACCGAGATAAAGGTCTATTAACAAAATGAGAAACATACGGAATAAAAGGTAAACTTTTAGATTGGATAAAAAACTACTTAAGTAACAGACGCCAGTCAGTCGTACTAAAAAATGCTATATCTTCTGAAGTATCTATCAAATCCGGAGTTCCTAAAGGTTCAGTGTTTGGGCCACTTCTTTTTCTTGTATACATCAACGATATTTCAAATACACTACTTTCAATTACTAGACTTTTTACTGACGACACCGCATTAGCAAACTGCTCTTAAAATTTACACGATATACAAAAAGTAATAAACTATGACATGGAATAATTAAACCTTTGGTCAAATAAATTGTTAATGAATTTCAACCCAAATAAAACCGAAATACTCTTAATTTCTAACACAAATATACCTTCTAACCCACAATTTCTTTTCGACAACACACCTATCCCTATTGTTAAAAACCACAAACACCTAGGAGTCATCATTAGTAACAACGGCACATGGAACTCTCACATTGAACATGTATTAACAAACACAACAAAGTACATTGCAACTTTAAGGAAATTAAAATACATCCTAAATAGAAAAAAAATGGAAAAATATACCTTGTTTTTATAAGACTACTATTTGAATGTAATATCACATTTTCGAATAAATCAGAGAACATGCAGTAGGAAGCAGGTCGAATAATAACTGGATAACCTATTTTTACAAAATAAAACAAAACAAAATACAGAGACCTCGGATTGAAATCATTGACAGATAGAGGCAGGATTAGAAAATTATCCATGTTTTATAATATTTATCATGATACTGCTCCCCCATTTCTAAAATCTCTTCTACCACCTATTGTGTCAAACTTCTCTAGCTATCATCTTAGAAACATGAATAATTTTCAAAACCCATACTATAGACTGCAAGTCACAAAAGCATCCTTCATACCAAGTACTTCAGACTCCTGGAATAATCTACCAATGGAGACAAAGTCATCAGAATCCATTAAACAATTCAAAACTCCACCTCAAGTCACTACCCCTTCTTGTATTAAGTGCTTTCTTGAATATGGGTCTAGAAAAGTTAATATTATACATTGTCAATTACGAAACCGCAGTAGCTCTTTAAATTACGACCTTTATAAAGCTCTCCTTCGAGACAACTACTTGCGAATGCGGAAATGACTCAGAAGACTCTTCCCATTTCTTACTTAACTGTAAAAAAAAATGATCAATACCGTAATATAATGCTTCAATCCCTCATATATAAGATGTTTAAGATGGCATACAGCAAAAGAGGTAATGATAGGATTAGGGACACCAACGTATAGTTTTTAAATATGTATTCGGAGAGTTTACTTGAGATCGCGTGTATGATTTTTCTAATCGAGTCGGCGTAAGTAGTATACCTAATCTATACACACATATCCTTCTGCTTTTCTAAAGTTCAATTGCAATTGTGCTGTTGCTGCTATAATCTGGTAAAATTTCCAAACGAAAATGACATCAATGATGTAATTTTGTAAATACTATAATGTAAGTTGCAAAAGTTGAACAAAGCCACCATGATATCTTCACTTGTGAAGATATGACATTTCGTAGGTCTTGACTGCAGTGAAGATAAAATAATTTGTCAAAGGAGAGTTAAGGACATTTCGATGGAAAATAAAATAAATACGGATAGTGTAATGTTAACTATCATATTATTGTAGATAGTATGCGGCATCAATTTCCCAGAAGGCTTTCACGCATCGGGAAGCACCGGAAGTGGACTAAGTGTTTACAGATCAAACACTGCGGCGCTTTGCGCCGCTTAGGGGTTTGAAAAAGACATTTTAAAAGGAGATAGATCTAACATAATTTTACGCATACTATCAAAGATTACATGTAGAAGGTATACCTGATGTGACACGCCGCAAATGAACCGCATAATGGCAAACACAATGAAAGTTGGTGCGAGAGAAGCGGTCACTCCTGCGGCGAATAGAACTATATGTGACGTCACCAGAACCAACTTGCGTCCGAATCTGTCTGATAGCTGAGGAAGCAAGGCTGCCCCCACCATCTGTCCGATCATCAGTAACATTTGGGAGATTTCTGCTCTCTCCGCTCCATCACACACGAGATTCCACTAAGGCATGCAAACTAACGTTTAACATTCATACAAAAAGCAAAATACACAAATTACGTTAAAATCGCCTTATGTTAAAAGCGCATAAAACGCTCTCTTTTCTCAAAAATACGAATTAAATATTGCATTGACAATTGCTCTGACTTTCTCTTCCCGATAACATTTACGCTATACTAAATGCCGTTCAGGAGGAATTTAGAATTTCAATATTTGACGGAAGCATTATTACGTAGATTTATATGAATTATCCATTACTCTAAAATAAACCGATAGCGCTTGTTCCATGTCTCAAAATTGTGCTGAAAATGTGTTTTGTTTTTCTTGGATTGTTTGGGACCAATTTGCATTCACAGATTTGTCGAGATAAAAACAAGTAGGAACACGATATGTTGTGCAGAATATACAAATGTAATTACCCATTCGGTCGGAGCATTAGGTTTTGCCTGCGGTTTTTTGTCGGATTCGTGATATCTCTGCTTTTGTTTTTTCGTGCGTTTCGTCTTTTCATGTCGACTTTCATTTAAATGATTTTTCCTTACCCTCTTAGTTAAGTTGAATATATTTTTAATTTGAAAAGAAGCATTTTGTCAAATATAATTTAACATGTCCTTCTCTAGATCGTACGTTACGTATAAATGCAACTTATCCAAATTACAAACGTTCGCTGATTCTCTCGCCTGTTTATCGATCGGGAATCGTCGGCACTTTCCGTAATGCTTCAGTCACATTCGCGCCGGCCGCCGGCCAGGAAGCAGGAAGCGGCCGTCTTCCTGGCGTCCCGGGGACTTTTTTTCCGATGTCTGGGATTAACTTGAGCATGTACACATGAGATACGGGCACCGCACGGCCCCAGCAAACATTTTGCAGGATTAAATCGAACGGACATCTGAAGTATACCGTAGGGATCTCGTAAGACTATCGAAAGGATACCGCAAGGCTATCTGACAATGGCCGGGCTGTCGTACAGTAGCTGGAAGATGTTCGTGCGGTCGTGTGACGGGCGGGTTACGTACGTAGCCCGTATGATTATAAAGATGCGGCGCATCAGTACTACTTTGGTGGCATACGGTAGTACTACAGTATCACATCAGTACCGGTACGGTACACATTGAGGCAACCTGAGAGCCGCCGATCCATTACCGGGCGCTACCGGTGTTCTACCGGAGTACTGCCGGAGTACTGCCGTTGTGGTCCCGTTGCTCGGTCCGACATCGCAACGGCGGACATTTTTGAGCTCCGGCTCCGGCGACCCAAATCGACTAGGTGTGACAGGCCCTTTTTACGATGTTGTACGGTACCCGTCCGGACATCGGGCGGTCTACAGGACAGTTGGGAGTATGTAAAATTGTAAAAATATCCCAAGATGACCGTACAATGCCACCGGAAGCCGTGAGATAATCTTACAAAATCCTTGCGGGACACCTATGGGAGACTGCTGGGTAGGTTCCGATGAGTTTGGGTCAGAAAAAAACGGGCGGACACCGCAACTATTATCTCTGCTCTAAAGCTCCCGGCGACCCGTGCGGCGTCTAAAAATCGGCCGTTAGTGGCCGATAACCTCCCGGCGTCCTTATAACGGTTCCCTAGCTTGCTGGCCGATTTTGACCAAAAAACTAATCGCCCGGGCGTCTTTTCGGAAAAACGAGACAGTATAATAATTTTGTAACACACATTCGGCCCACCTTTAGCACGTACTTATGTTAACTAATGAAGTACCTTTGTTATACACATTCGGCACATCTCTAGCCCGTACCTATGATTACCGATGAATCAACTTTGTAACACTCATTCGGTCAATCTCTATCCCGTACCCATGCATACCGACGACTTACCTCTGTAACAAACGTTCGATCTTTCTCTAGATCGTACGTATATCCTGCCGGACATGGTGACAGTTTCATCAGAGTCGTGTTGGTACCATTTATGAGGATATCTACGTGACAGGCTTGGTACAGAGGAGTGAGACTGGCGTTCGACAGTGTGTCATACATACTGGTCGTATTCCCGAGGTCAGCACATTGGTACGATGGACGATATCCTAAGGACGTAAAATGTATACTGATAATTACTGATCGTAAAATAATCATGAGAAAACCGGACAGTATTTTTTTTTCTTCCTAATCGCAAGTTTTCACACAACTTTTCACAAATTATATTAATTGCAAATGATGCAATTATACTAACTTATTTTGTGGGTAAAAGTTTAGAATAAAAATTAACGAATAAATGAATAAATACAAAAAAATAAAAATAAAAGATCGATAAATAAATTCATAAAAAATTACAAAAAGTAAATTAAAAACAGAAAAATATAAAAGAAGACCACATTTTCCCCTCAAATCAAATCAATAATAAATGATTTAGTTAAACTTAATTATTACCAATGACACTGTATTTTAGGGTTTTATTTAAAATAAAAAATGTAGATATAAACAAATGAAAAAAAGTCCTATACAAAATAATGATGAGAATAACAAAATAACAGTAAATAAATAAAAAAAAAAGTCCATAAAGCTATTGTTTCGCTCGTAGTTATGGAAATGTATACGCTGGTAACATAATACAGTAACATTACGGATGATTTGGCGTGAAACGTAAAAATAAATATTTTGATTACGAAAGTCTATAAAACTAAAGACAGCTGAAGCTTAATACATTTTAGTACATCACATGATAATTACTAGGATAGCTATTGGATAACTACCCTTGCTCTATTTGGAATAGTTAGCATCCGCCCTTGACGACGGGAACTATACCTGGAGACGGGCACTACACCTTTTTTTGGACCGCTGAGACTGCGGGAAAAGTAGCGTGACGCCAAGAGTTGCGCCCCTTCTCCTAGGGGGCGCTGTTCATATTCTACTTTCAGTTCATTGTTGTCGTCTGCCAAAATGGCTTCGAGAGTCGGGACCGGGATTGCCGATTGCTTTGCAGAGGCTCAGCAATGTATGAAAACGAAGCAGGCGACACAATTTACAGTCACAGTCCTTAAAGAGTTCCTCCTGGAAAGGGGAAATGTATGTGATCTTGCGACGATTCAATGCAGTGAATTTAACGGTGTGTTGGCGGATTTCTATGCCAATATACGCAATGCATTTCCTCGTGTTTGTCTTTTTATGGTCAAATGGCAGTCATGTGATGAACTAAATCTATTATGACCCTTTCCCTCGGGAACAGTTCTCTTATAGTGTTGTCTGGGGAGGGCACTATACCTCCCCAGACAACACTATAAGAGAACAGTTCCCTCGGGAAAGGGCCATAATAGAATATTGGTAAATGCTAACTTTGTTTTGAACACCAATCGTAATGGTAAACTTCTTTGGCGAGCTTTTGAAAACGTCGGTTTCCTTTGACAAGAAAAGAGATCAGGGGACCGGTGTCTCGACCCAAACCAGAACAACTGATTGAGTAGTCTCGTTCAACCAGACTCTTGTTGTCTGAGCAAGCTACGCCGAACAGAAAATTACAAGTGATCAAGCGTCTGGTTGAACGAGCTATTGACTGAGCCACAATCTGACGAAACAGGAAATTCAGAATGTATCGAAATATTTCACCATATAGCGCTATGTTGAATTTCATTCCGAAACATTTTGGTATTCTAGAAAAATAAATTAAATGGGTTAAATTATTTTAGCAAACAAAGAAACTCTATCGTTTCAGACAAAGCAATGTTAGGCTCGATATCATTATTGTCGTTTGGTATATGACGTAACAAAATGGATGACGATGATGACGTCAGAACCGAACCAGTGGTACTCGTTTGTAACACACAAAATTTTAATAGACTCAATAGGGGAGCAAATAGCAGGAAACGTTGGACAAAATCAGAAATCAAACTCATTATGAATCGAAAAGACAACATATATGAGACACCAAAATGAAAAACTGAAATAAACAAAAGGCACCATGAATTCCCTCAAAAGTACAAAAGAGAAACCATATTATAAGGAAAAAACATCGTTATATATAAAATAGATCAAGTTGATAAGATACTTGTCTATCATAAATTTCATAAACGGCAGTGATGTAGATTCAGTAAAATCTTTTTAGAAAGGATCCCATACCACAAACAAAAAACTATACCTTATAGGACTTTTATGAAAAAGTATAAAAATGAAAATAAGCAAAATACAATCAGCAATAGTGTTTTGGTTGTGAAACGTTGAGCGGGGCTAGACCAGGATTTGAACTCTTGGCCGGCTTTAGGTTGTGTTATCGCACCTCGGACAAAATTGTTGCATCTGATTGGTTAAAATCGGGTCACGTGGTGACCCCCTATGAGACTATAGGGGTCAGTAAAATTTCTTAGGCGGCAATTTGGCGGCCCTTGTCTGTCGCTTCGAAATTTAAACAAATCAGGTCTAAAATACGCCTTCCCAAATATCCCCGAACGAAGACCTTCCTGTGTGTATTTTTCGCACAGAATTGTCCTGAAAAGGTTAAAAAAAACGTTTAAAAACATTTATAAGAGTTGCCTCCCCTATGCCCTCGTCCTCACTCCCTATGAATTTGACTGACCCTTTATGGTTCCATTGTAGGTCAGTAACAAACCATTTAACTAATAATATGCAGTTACATCAAAAACAAAATTAAGGGGAGGTTACTGTATACATGTAAACCATATTATGCAGTGGGACAGGGATCCTTATTTTCCACCAATGGAGTTATATTTGCATTATTCATCAAACAAATACTGTTGACGACATCAAAATAAAAAATAAGTCGCCACGTGCGAATTGAACACATGTTTCATATCTCGCAAAATCATAATTGTAAAACACAAACGTTACAATAATTATTCGTGAAAAGTTTATAACATACAATATGAAAAGGTTATTCTGATGGCCGAAAATATTGTTACGCACTGTTAATCAAAAACAGTACATTTGATTATATTTACCAATGAACACTATGATCATTAGTTGGAAGGCCTCGCTCCCATAGGTCGCCATGTGTAAGGCCATCTGAATTCGCTGGTAACGCCCCCATGTTCCTAGTGTACGCCAGATGTTGTCCAGAAAGTGCTGGTCAGTCATGGTCAGTGCGGGACAACTGATGCTGTATGTGTCTTAAACATTTGTTATACTACACAGCTATGACGAAATAATGTAATAAGTAATCAATAATGTGATACAACATATCACAAACCAACAAGGAAGCATCCGAAAGACATCAGAGCAAAGTCAATGATGTCAAATTCTCTCGGAACATCTCTTTGTTTATGTTACAGACATGAGCTATTGTCATGTGCTTTATTCATACCAGTATCCTTTCTAGGGAACACTGACTTTTTTAGTGACTTACTTTTATATTCGCAGGTCAAAATATCTATCTCGTGTAATATACATGCTATTCAAAGGTGTTATTCTTGTCACGAACCATAAAGAGTTGCCCGATGGACCGGACACAAAATATTCATTTACTAGTATGAAATCCCACGCTCACGCCTGATGATGAACCCTGTCGTCTAAGTAAAACATTCATATGGTGAACTTTGCTAGTTCCTACATTTTAGGGTACATTCGCGTATAAGGTTGAAACGGTTGAACCGGTTGAACTTGTAAAGAAAACGACAGATCTGAAGCGTGGCTGACCTCAGGAAAATTTGGCACGTGTAGATTGAGGGGTCCAGACGTACCTAGCCGAAACTAAAATGCTGACTATTGCCAGTTTGCGTTATTTCTTTCTAAAACAATGTCAAGTCACATGTAGTTTTTAAGATACGTTATGTAGCTCAGTGGACGGATGAAAGAAGGTCCTAATATTCTTGATACACTGTTTTTTTATTCTCCGAAACTGTGCATTTTTAGTTTTCTGCATATCGTGGAATATTTCTGCGCCACACGTACCGTTTCAACCGGGATATGCGAATGCAGCCTAAGTAATAACATGTACCCGGTTTGTGTAGCATTCGGGACTAGCGAAATGTAAACAATAAAAGTTATCCAATTTTCGGAGATCTTGTGTGTCAGAATTTAATTCAATTAAATGTATTTGTAATGTTGTATAATAATATGTCCGGTATAGAGGCCAGTAGTGTGACGTCAGTATATATCTATTATATGATACCTTTGTATGACTTTAGGTAGATGAGAGAGCGACGACACCGACGACTGACAAGAGTATAAGTGAGGTATAAACTCGGGTTTTTTTTCGATTTACAAACTTACCTGTCGATCTATTCTATTTGTCCTTTCTCCTGTCCGGCGTGCGGTATTTCCCGCGAGCAGTATCTGATATTCTTTGTACGGTATTATATATCATTTTAAATAAAACATGTATGTGTGCAAACGCGGGGTTTACCTGAGTGACCGCCATTACACCGGTAGGTACGTATACGATTGTATTTAATTTATGTTTAAAGAGTTGAATACGTGTACAGACTTATATATGAGCTGGACATGCAGACAGCCTTCTGCCACACAGAGGTGATTATTTCATTATAAGTCATAAAAATCCCAATATGTATATATCCTTTTTTAATGTCCTGTAACAGTGTGTACGTCCGTGAATGGTTTTCACCATTTGCTAGTTACGTCAAAAGTAAATGCCAATAGGCCATATGTGTAAAGGTGAAATGTAATACATATTGTAACTAATAGATAAGGAAATAGTATATCTCCTATTTCCAATTCATTATTTGTTATCATATCATTCCCGGCACATAATTTACAGCTAAGTGCTAATTGTCAGATTGTACTCGTATCTGATATATGTGTATCGATAGTGTTATGTGTACGTGTAGTAACAGTCTTGTATTTTGTATCGTTGCAGGGTAAAATATTTATCTACAATAAACCACTGGTTCAGAATCAAAACGTCGAGCTTGGGTTGTTTATTCATCCCCAAATATCCCTCGATTTTTTACCAGAATAACAAAATATATTTTTACCACACACTATAAATCACCATTCTATAAGAGAGATATTTTAATATCAATTGCCGATTGCCGATCGCGACTTATAATGTCTCACGAGAAATTTACATCAGAAGAAGAAATTCCATTCCTGGACATCCTTATCGAAAAAAGAACTGACGGTTTCATCAAATTGCTGGTATACAGAAAAAAAACACTCGCACAGATCAGTACCTCAGCTTCAATTCACACTATTCATCGCATCAGAAGTTCGGGGTAGTTCGCCCTCTCCTGGACAGATGCAATATCATCGTAACTGAACAGGAATACATTGAAATGGAAAAGCGACATATCATCCCAAATGGTCGATAAGGAAAGTAAAAAAAAAAATGGAAAATAAAAGCAATACAAATGACCCCCAGAAACAAAAACGTACAGACGCAGAGAGAAAAAGTGACGGCATGGTCACTATCTCATACACTTTCAAGAGTGTTGCGCAAATATCACATCAGCACGCCCTTGAGACCACACAACACTATCAAACAACTATTAGTTCATCCGAAGGCAAATTGCCGAAGGAAGATAAAACAGGGGTGGTTTACCAGATTCCATGTCACAGCTGTAACCTTACATACATCGGGGAAACTGGCCGGAAATTTGGGACACGCCTTAAAGAACATTAGAAAGACGGTGAGGCAATGAAACAGCAAGTCGACACTAGAAATACAAGGGAAACATCGGAGAAACAATACGATAACTCAGCTATTGCAGACCATGCTAACACACACAATCGCATCATAGATTGAACAATAATCGCAAGTGCTTGAAAGGGAGGACAACTGGATAGTCCGGAAAATCAAAGAGTCCATCTGGGTTAGGAAGGAAGGGATTTCGATGAATAGCGACGAAGGGGGTCACCAGCTGAGTCACCTCTATGACCCCATTTTAACATCCTCTTAATATAGGACCAATCCTTCTGGCTGCCTTTATAGTGCAATTGGGCGAAATGTCTCTATGGTTTTTGACAGCTGACTTAACTGATTCGGCACAGTGTGGCTAAGTGATTTGTTTTCAGCGGTTTAGAGTCGAGACACTGGTCATTTGCAAAATTCAAAAATCTGTACACTTTCTTAAATGTACTTAATGGTAATGCTAATTCTAACTTCATGCTAGTGTTTATGTTCAGTGCAGTGACATTTCATTTACAGTGATTTTCGTAAACTTTGGGATCTGTTGCAGTATATTTTTGTCATCATGCATAATAAAAACATTTTTTTTAGTTATAAAGAATATGACATTACAACTATGTGTTTGCGATTCTTCAATGCAACTGTCTATTTTCTTTATTAGAACGGAATGCTATAATTTGTTTTAACTAAATATATTGAAGTACCTTTTGCTATAATAAATGTTCTGATGTATTTCAATGAAGTCCCCGAATACACATTTAAATTTTTGATTTGATGTTATGTTAAAAGCTATGAATTCAAAACTTCAGCTGAAAGGGTTTGCACACAGCGTGGTAGTCCATGATTGAAATCCATATGTCATCTGGGATGGTACATGCATCACACCTCTAAAGTATTTCTTAAAATAAACATGTACAAATTATATACATTGCTACTTCAGGGCAGCCCTTGAAGATTTCATTTCTCGGTAGCCTCAGTATTTTTTGCAGATCCTAATGTGAATATTTAAAAACTAAAGAGCCATTTTGAAGATTCAACTTATATTAATCACTCTTGCGGAAGAAAACGTATGCATCCGGAGAAAAACCCGCGCGGTCAGGCAGGTGACTTTTTACCTTCTTCACGTCCGACCGGAGAATCGAACTCCGGTCGTCTTGCGTTATCCGATTGCGTCGCCCAACCGAATTTAATTTGGAGATACCGTCGCATAAAAATGTTCAATGGTACTTTAACTCGATTATGATTTACATGGCGGGTGTCATCGATGAAGCAGAAAACGCTTACCCCTCCGATACACATGGTCTTATTCTCCTTGTGCTTTTGTGAACCTTTCCTTTGTTCATATGTTGCCCTAGTTTTATCAATTTTGAGTTCGAATCATTGTTTTATTGACGCTTTTGTATTCCCTTGTTGTCTTTTGCCCCGAAGTAATCTATAAATGAATCATCGGGCTACATGCACATGTAAAGGCGAGTTGGAGCCAGGGTTCTTATTCATGAAACCATTTCCGTGCTCAAGCATAAATTCCCTGCTCAAACCATTTTTATTTCAAAAAATCATATAAATCTGTCAGAAAGTATAGTCTATCCATTGAAAGCGTTGGTTGGCTTATTTTTCCCCAAAATTCTTTCAAAGCATGGGACAAAAATGGGAAATTTGAATAATTTCACCGAAACAAGCAATAGGTCTGAGAACAAATCTGAGTTTGGTAATGAGTTTTCATGATTATGGGCCCTTGTTCTTTGTACTACTCTGAACAATGCATTAAAGCATTCATGTTGACGTCAACGCCAACAGACAGGTCTTAATCGACCAAATACATAATACAGTAATTCTAATTCATATAATAAAAGATAAACAATATTAGTTCATGTACATCATGAAACATATTTATACCAGCTGAATTTATGGAATACTTCTCTTAAAAAGGACTTAAACAAATATTTCAAATAATGCTGATAACGTGGAATAGCACAAATTAACAAAATAATACTGTGTATTGCACAAATACAACAATTGATGAGTAACACATGTATTTTCATTTCTGAAGAAATGAACCAATGCATAATCTTACAGCATTTAATGTTATGAATGATACAAACAGGTGGTTCGATTACTGTTTATCTCGGTGAGGTGTATCCTTCGAAATACGAAGAGTTCTAAAGTGAAGTATCTACAGTCTTTTTCCGTTGCATTCCGCTGTGTTGTTTATACCAGCGCTCCAATTCTTCAACTGTGGTCGGGAGCTCGTGGCCGGTCGGCTCGGGCAACAGAGGCAAAAGCATAGCAACTGTTAGACACATTATTCCAAATATTGCACCTGGAGCCCAACTTATTCTTTCAGCCTATAAACAAAATACATACAAATAACAAAACGACGATCCCATTAGTTGACCGTACACAGTCGTGTCGTATTAAGTTGTCGTTTATTTACAACTTTGACACACGAACTAATTTAACGTAACTTCATAAATGATAACATTTTTGTGAGAAAAGCATACAATATAATAGCATAAAAATGGTAGAACTTCCCCGAGTAAGTCATTAAAAATATCGCGAGGCCTTCCAGACTAGCGTGATGTAATGAGAACATGGTGCTAAAGAAAACGCGAATTATCCCAACACTTGGTTGATACGGTTACAGTTCCGTTGTCGCGCTAAATTGTTCCTGTTGAATTAACATTTATATCTCACTCGTTTGGAAATATTAACCGATACGTTCACTCGTGCTTTGCACTGGTGATAAAAAATCATTATTCTGCTGCACATAAGAAATTATTATGGTATTCAACAGGAAATTTTTAAATATCTTTGTATGCTTACACCATGAACGAATTTGAAATAACAACCATGCGAAAATAAACCTTTATATTAGCAAGATATACCGAATGTACTTACCAGCGGACCAGCAAAGGGTGCCAACATTCCACCTATTCGTCCGGCAGCGGATGAAAATCCAATGCCAACATTCCTGAATAGAATGATTTTAATAGTTGAATTATGTCCCTAAGGAAATATCTGACTTCTATGTCATCCGCTCTCTTGGATTTAGAGAAGTTTCCCGAGAGTCAAAAATGCGCTGATGTATTCATAATGATGATGGAGCTAGGGTCAAAAAAGTTGGAAATCCGAACAGGTCTAAACTATGTTGAAACAGAATGGAAAGTTTATTAAAACCGTCAATTCCACAAATTTAAAACAAAAATAGAGGAGTTCTGGTTAATTTCAAATTCATTGCTAAAGTGTGTATATTATGAACCGTGTCAATACTCAAAAATTGGTTTGAGTATTGGCATAAGACGTTTGCGAGTAATTGTTTTATAAATTATACTGACAGAGTTGATATGTGATTGAATATGTAAGTGTGTTATTGCAGGTTGTGATAAATATTGTTTTCTATTTTGCTTATTGACCACATGTGTTGTTCTACAATCCATTGTTGTCGTGTTACGCTGTAGTGTGCGTATAAACAACAACCCATTTGCAAGTTATAAACGAGTGTCTGTTCGTATTGATTAAGAAGTTCCATCAGATCGTCTACTTCTAACTTTTCGCCTGCTCTTTTCTTTCAACGTCTTTCTTGTCCATTCCTAAATTCATCTACCTTTTCGAAAAAATATCCCCGCTTTTGGCTTTAGTTTTGTTGAGCATGCACCGAAGTGTAATGCGAGCGGGAACATGCACGGCCAGACTTTGGATCGAACCCGGGACCTTTCGAACTCTAGACGGACGCTCTACCAATTGAACTACCTGATCGCCGACGATCGACCCAGTCCAGTTCCGCTACATTCCTCCTGTCTTTTTCTAAGTCTTCGCCCTTGAAGACACAACTATTTACAACGTTTGTTTGGGTATCCCCTTGTTAAGCATTCACCTAGTACTTGAAACAAGGTTTGGTCACAGGCAGCAAATGTTTTAGGAGCGGGAAAAATTCACGGCAAAACAGGGGTTCGCACCCGGGACCTTCCCAACTCTAGACGGACGCCCTTCCAATTGAGGTACCTGGTTGCTTATATTCGACCTAGTCAGTTCCACTACATTAGAACATATCTTCTTCTGAATCATAATGCACCGTATCAACATCGAAGACAAATGAGTCGTCGAAGATATAGGTCTAAATTTCTTTTCATGACGTTTGACTTTCTCCTTGTCTTCACTGTTTTTTCTTTTAAAAATCTGGGCACCCGCGTTGAACGTCTCTTTGTTGATAGCGTATACGTATATTCTAACAATCAGACCATAGTCGCCACAGTATCGTTACCTTGTCGGCCATGTTGTAACTTCTGAATGGTCAATATATACATGTAAGTCACCAATACAAATCTGTACGGGTTGGTGGTAGCCTATTCGAAGTAGCGTTTCAAGTGATGGGTAAGTCCGAGTACATATGTCGTGTAAGTGTCAGTATTTGCCATCCTCCTTTTAAGTTGTTTAATGCCACCATTGACCAATGACGCCGACTATCCCCGAAATAATATGAATCCATTATTCAGGATAACACGAACAATAGTGTGACCCAGACAGCTCTATGTAATTCCGCCTCACTTTTGAATATTCCTGGTGTCACCAGTCTATGGCAGGTGACCAAGATTTTGAAGAAAATATCTTCAAATTGTCGTTTCTTTTGGTGGTTTGAGTTTTATAGCGTCGACAGTAAAACTCAATTTTAGACAGTATAATCACAAATATTGCCGCCATTTTAATAAATAATAAGGTTTTCCAAGGCATTCATCTTATGCTAACCATGATCTCATTTAGAAATAAGCTATTTCTTTGTGTGATATGAAGGTCGATGCCTTTTATTATGCTCATTAGTGTGCCTTGTCGATTTGTTGAAATTAAGCGAGTTCTAGATGTGAGGAGGTGATGTTTCTTGGATGTTTACCTGATTTACAAGACGGGTGTCATAGATGAAACGAAATTCACGTACAATGCAGTTACCCGTCTGGAACTCCTGATCTTTTTCTCCTTGTACTGTGTTCATTTTGCCTTAATCGTATCGGTATTGAGTTCGAATTATTGTTTGTTTACGCTTCGGTATTCTCTTGTAGCTTTTTGTTTTCGTTTTTGTTTTTAACTGATCATCATTATGAATACATTATTTTATAATTGTCCCTCTTAGGAAAAACCTTCAAAAATCCAAGAAGGCGGGTTACATAGACATAAAAGAAAAATAGGGGTCAACAAAGACGACCAGGACTACTCCGGTATTCAAATATTTAACAAGCATAAGATTTCAGCATTAAACTGTAAAGAAAACATATTGATTTGTACTCATAGAAATCGGAAACATTCGTTTTTCATCGGCGGTGAATAGTTCAACGCTGATCTCATTTGAAGATATCCAAATTGAATAACAGATATATATTCAAAACGAACGTTAAATAAAGAAAGCTCAGTACGAACAATCCGCAGATTTCGCCGTGTTTGCACAGAGCAGTGTGTTACCTGAGATTTGTAGGGTATAATTCTGGAGTGAAGAGGAATATTGTGCTGAAAGAGCCAGCAATGGCCATTTTCCCGAGAAAATAGAATATCATCAATGCTACGTTAGCACCAGCTCTATCTTCAAAGAGATAAGAAAAACACAATGATTGTAATGGGTATGTCAATCATGAACTGTTAAATAATTTTATATACATTTATCACATACCTGTTGAATCTTGTTATAGTAATACAAGTAATTTTCATATCATGAAATACAACGTTCTGTATTGCACATGTGCAATACGGAATGTTGTATTTACCTACTAGCCGGAACTACTTTTTATGGTAATCCCCTTGTCATGGCGAACTGAAAAATTCCCGGTATTTGTAAAATATATCGATCTCTACCAAATACGGAAGGTATGTGATTAAAGCAAGACCACACACTTGTGTTTTTCTAACGAATCAGAAAGCACTCATTTATTTTCGGGGACGTATATATTCACTCGTTGCGCTCCGCGCACTCGTGAATATATTCGTCCGCGCAATAAATTCATGCTTTCTGATTCGCTAGAAAAATACAAGTCTTTCATATATATCTATTTTAGGCGTTGTCATTTTCGCGGTTCAATAGTAAAAATGCTCGATAACAATTGTTTTAATAAATATTGTATACAAAGTGACTTTGATGTTGCATATATATTTTATTTTGGAGTTTGCAGTGATGCATGTAGAACATTTGTAAGTCGACATACTGTTTTTAAGATATTGACATAGCGTCAGTTATATATTTTATTTAGGAGTAAAAGTGAAAACAGCACTACGTCAAATCAATGAGTAGGTAATAAGTAGCATTTTCTGCAATTCACTTGCTATCTTGTTTCTTGGAAAACGATTCATTAACGACAATTGTTTCATTTTGCATAAATAGCTGAAAGTCATTATAACACCCAGGTATTACCACGGTGAAAAATTTTGTAACCTACTTACATGATAATCATCCCGGAAGATGTGACATTTTAATAAATTATGTGTACAGATTTTCTAAACAAATATGCCGACGCACGTAGCTCTTGAGCAACCGTATGGTGCAGTAAAATGGTTAATTTATTGGCTTTCAGCATCTTGTCACAACAACAGGGTCACAATACGCTTCATTTTCCGTATTTCTAATGATTGTATCAAGTTTTCTTTCTGTCTTACCCTTTAAATCCAAAACAAAATCGCTAAAACAGATGTAACGTCACGCTACCACAATTGGTACGCTACCCTAATCGGTACACAGTCAGAAAAGGGTTCGAACGGTACTTTAAAATAAAAATTATGTATTTTGTGAGATATTTATCAGCATTGCCGCAAAATAGTTTTGTTTTCAGCGACATTTTAAGAGTACATGATTACTTTAAAGCAAACATGTCTGAAAACCAGAAAAAAAACCGACGTAAGTCGACGAAAATTTTAGTTCAGTAAGGTATTTATAAAAAGAATTATTTTTTATGCAATCAGAGCATCAACTAGTATAATTCAAGTTTCATAGCATGTGATAAGTAAGGTGTATTTTCATCATTGTCGAAAAATGGACGAAATCTCACAGCGAGTTTAGCGTTCTATTTTTAAAAACAAATTTTCTTACATTTATAACTTATTCCTGAAAAATAAACCTACATGGACAGTCTTTGTCAAGAACAAGGAAACATTCCAGATACATTATCTGTATTTTTAATAATCACTGGAAAACTGTCAAAATTGTACCAATTGTGGTGGCGTGACGATACACAATCTACTGCTGGACGTATAGACAGTATGTAAATTTAAGGATCAGTGAGACAATATGTAATGTTAACGATAATGAAATGACTCGTATATGCGAGGATTATTTTGATAAGGAAGGATCTTGTGTATAGGGTGATGTCTAATCTTATCAATACGTAACCACTAGCATGAATCTGGAGTAAATAATGCCATATGGTCAATTCTAACTTGCTTACCTGATAAATAATTTGCGACAGTTCCCGCTATGAGCGACACGGCTGCCACGGCATGGAATATGATACACAACTTCTTTCTACCTAGTCTGAACAATAAAGAAAAAATGTGTATGATGATCATAATAATAAGCGAATATTTATGAAAAGTTCAATGTCACCAGGCGCGATATTCTGCTGTCCGGACAGAGTGCAGCCAATACACTTATTTGGCACCATGTGGACCTTTTTTCCGCTTTCAATAATTGGGTCTTTTTCTTAAAAAATGTTTTATAGAAAATTTTATACTGTAAAACCTCGATTTAATGCCCTTTGTTTGATTTTCTACTTCGATTACCGCCAATATATTTCAAGGTCCATTTTTCTTGATTTTCCTTTCGAATTTCCGTTTCCTACGTTTCCACAAGTTTATTGCCAAACCCTTTATAATGCCAAAAGTCATTTGGACAAATAGTGGCAGTATAAAGAGGTTGTTTGGAATCGGTATTTAATAATGTTGAATTAGGTAATTGTGTGTACGTTGTATGGATCTCATTCTTTATTCATCGATTTGATAATAAAATATAATGCAATTAATTTAATAGCCAATTTAAGACATTTTAACAGCGCGAAATTAAGTAACAAACTGCGAAAAAAACATGAAAAGCTGTACCCCAAACCCATTTTCAGTTTCTTATTAGGTTTTTATTTCGTTTAATATATTTGCGTGAAAAGATTATATTGAAAAAGAATACCTTTTTTATTTATTTTTTATATATTTTCCATTTAAATATTGTAGATTTCATTTATTTGCTTCATAGATCATCAGATGAAACTTGTGCATTCGTGATTTAGCTTTGTTTCTTTTAACAGATATTTTCAAACATTTTCCCTTCAGATGATCAACATGTTTAAATCATAATATTTATCCAGGAGAATTAATGTTATAATTTTGTGTGCTACTCACCTATTGAATGTATAATATTCAATTACTGCCACGGGTAATTCCGCAAGAGAAAGGAGAAAAAAACTCAAATAGCGATCTAGAGGTAGAGAGGCAGAGGATAGAGATAATCCGTAGTATGTTAGACTATTAACAAGCCTGAAACATAGAAAAAATACCAAACTAACAAACTGATTAAAAATACGAAAACAAGAGAATATAGAAGTGTCAAAAGAAACATATTTCCAACTCTTAATGGCAAAATATGAACCAACGAAAGATTCACATGGTGACCTCTTAAAAATACATAATGAGGGAGAAGACCAGGTGCTCCGGAGGGGTAAGCGTTCCCCGCCTCATCGAAGTTTAAAGATGTGGAGTATTTATATGTACAGTTGTACCTTCGTGATCAAGCACTACTTACCTAATAGTATAGTCCCACTATCCGACCAGATAGAATAGACTTTTCCTATTCAAAATTTCTCTATAATCCAACAACTTTTGATTGGAAAAAAGATGGTTTGATTATCAAGGTTTCTTTAGTATGAAGGGGATGTACCTCGTTTTTTACGTGTTGGACTAGGAATTTTCTAGAACCTGAATCATGGTTTAAACTCGTGACCGATAAGTAGTATTATTCTGATGTCTATTTCGATGTTAATATCTGCACTTAAGTTGACATTTGACTTTGAAATTTTATTTATTATGTATTTTTGGTGAAAATGCGTTTAAAGGATGTAGAAGTAGGCATTAAAGAAAACATAAATATATGTACATGTATTCATATCTGTAGCGATATATTACAAGATAAACACAGCAGTGTTTAATCTCAACTAATTCTCTCTGAGTGCCGATTCAAAGTGGAAAACGAAATTAGAACAACTTACAATCGGAACACCTCGTGTTGCAACGTAAGCCAAATAATAATTGATTTCAGTCAGCTACAAGGTTGAAATTCGAAAGGATTATTAATTGCTTTGAAGCAACAGTATATCATTAATTGATCACTATGAGTATGTGATGGCGAATACGTTAATTGGAAATGAAAATGTCTCTAAAAAAGAAAAGAATACATCTCACCAACGATCAACATTTCTTTTTTAAATCTTATTGAAATTTCCACATTACTAAACTCACATCAGTTACTAGTATTAAGATTTTAATCGTGGTACTGTCAATGTAATCGTTCGCTTTTCTCAGAGCGCGAAATGTCACTCTCCTATTCTCTTACAGAGTTACAGAGTTGCATATATTTATTTAAAACAACGAAATATGCATGATCGCTAACTGTTGAGTTGATTTGAAAAGTTGAAGAATATTTAACCTCCCTTAAGTAATCCTACTGTGATTAAGGCACACCCTGAATATTCTGCCAAATTCGAGTGTTTTTGTGATGCTATGTTGAAAATATTGTTTCAAACTGGGATCGCTTCGTATATAGTGATATTAATTCAATTAAATTGTGAAAAATCGGCAAACTTTGATTGAAAAGATATCGAAGTTATATTTTATAATCCTTAAAGTTTTTAAGACGGTACACGGCGCATATAAAGGTGTATATTTACATTTGCCTTCCATTACAACGCATAAATAAGGCAAATGTTGTTATGAGACTATAACAATATTTGCTATTGTAACGTCATCACCTCTATTGTGACGTCATCAATTTCATTGTTGTCAATACTTAATTTGCTGTTCAAAGAACTATTCGAAATAACTAAATAAAGCATTACTACTCTATTGCTAATGCCGGGTTTGGTTCAGTTTGTTATTAATAGCGATGCGTTTTATAGGACCATTACAACATTTGCTAAAACATTCATTGTTTAATTAACACAGTTTTATTGTCCATCCGTTAAGGAACCTCGCATTACTGCCAAAAACGGTAACTATACAATAAAAACCAAGTTTGCAGGCATGATTATATTGTTAAGTGTGATGATAATAATAATGTTTTGGTAAATACATTTATAAACTTACCAAGTATACGTCATGATGAGGGTGATCATTGCTATTCGCCGGCGTGTAAATAGAGTCAAAACCGTATACTTTGGTAGCATAGCCGGCGACTGCTCCAAAATGACTTCCTTTCGCTCCTTTTGCTTGCCATCCACATTTTGATTTTGGTTTGGTTTCTTTATTAGTTTTTCTTGTAATACAGTCGATGTACATGTAGCATTGTCGACAATCTGCAAGACTTCTTTTTCGTTTACCTTATTCATTTTTGCAGCCTTCCTTAAAAGTGTCTTTGCTTTGTCTATCTTACCATTGGCAAGGAGCCAGAGAATAGATTCGTCAAATGTCCTGCGATGGAAATATAATTTATTAATATATAAAGTTCTTATTATTTTTAGAAGTCTACATTATATTATAGTTTAAAAACTAAAATTATAAGGTAAACCGAAAACATTGGTGTAAAATGACCGTATTTCACTTGATTCTGAGTAAAGATTATTTTTATTATTTTTATTTTACCAAAAGAATAGTTTATTTCCCTTCTAATTGTCATACTCATCAGTATTGTTTTATGATTTAAAGATAGTTACATGTACAAAATTGCTAAATGTCTTGTCTATTCAAAGCACTTACTAGTTGAATATGAACGGATATTTGAGGAAAAATATTTAAAATGAAACAATGACAGTTCTCATTATGTAGTTTTAGTTGTTACAATACGAACCAAAATCCGAGAAGACAGTGCACTGATGTTAAGGAGAGGACAAGGTAAAGATATCGCCAAGACAGATCCCTCATTATATAGGCCAGTGGTGCAATCACGCACAGCCCAATTGTCCATACTGTGCATCCGAGTACTTCTGCCATGAACCGGCTTTCCTCCGGAAGTATCTCTACAGTCATCACAGCCCTTGCCATGGCCATTCCCTATAATACGAATATAACATTTTACACCATATAAATCGGAAGGTGTGTCTGTTAATTTCTTACCATTTATTTCTTAAAGATTAAAGTTTGTTTGTGTTTTACGTCCTAATAACAGCTTTGGTCATTAAAGGACGTGTCGGGATTTGATGATGGAGGAAAGACGGAGTTTTCGGAGAAAATCCACCGACTTTCGGCCAGTACCTGGTGACTGCTCCAAGTAGGTCTCGAACCCTCAAAGCACCATGACCCCTTATTTATAGAGAAGGGCAATCTTTGATGTTAGGGTATAGCTAACATTTTGCAACAAATATGAAACAAATTATATTAACTTGTAATGTTAACCTGAAAGGGTTCTTAATGCCTTATGCACTGAGCCACCCGATCACCCAATAGATATATTGATATTTATATACATAGGGAAATATGCTGTTTTCCTTTGGTTACTTATTTTTTATCTAGATTTACATTTAGGTTATCGTCGATGAAGCAGACGGTGCTTATCCTTCCAGAACACCTGGTCTTATTTTCCTTGTACTTTTTTGCGGGTCTGTATTCAAATCTTTCCTGTTTTCTTATTTCTGCCTTAGTTTTATCAATGACAATTAAATATTTACATTTGCATGGCATTGTCACTATATAGCCTCTTTGAAAGCTGTGTCGTTGATGGGACTTTAATTACCATGCATCACGAAACACAATTCTTAGCGTATTAATACAACACTGACCGGAACTACAATATCTAATATAAATAAACATGACGGCTGCATTGTGACATTTGACAATGCCATTGTAAATTTATGTGCAAAATAAAAAATAAAATAAAAAACACTTTTATTACAACGAAAACAAGACCAATGTCTGCAATATCGTACAAAATGCACATCGGTTGAAATCACCAATACTGGCAATGGAAACAATTTTAACGCTCATGCAATCCTACATGTATCAGAAATATCGTCTGTTACACTGCACTGATCAACAGGGGTTCGTTACAAATGTCTGAAATACACATATTATATAGACCTACTGACACATATGTTACAGACCTACTGATATGAGTCACAGCACACATAAACATTTCAGACATTTGTAACGAACCTGTGCTCCGTCGCAAGATCACTCACTTCAAATGCTATCTTTCACGCGTCTTGCATCCACCATTCCTCAGTTTCTGACGACATGACAAACAACGAGGATGTTATAGAATCTACCGACTGTTGTCAGGTTCCCATACAATCAACAAATACATTCACGCCTCGATTCTTCACAAAATGAGAAAAGTTCGAATTAACTTCCAAAAATAACTCCATCGTGGAGGGCAAGGTCGGATTTACGGTGTTCAATGTATTTGTCCATGCGCGAAATTTGTTCCGGGGAAAAATCGAAACAATTTCAAATATAACTTTTAGCTCAGAGTTCTATTGATAAACTTAAATCACCCTATAGACATATCATACGCAATTGTATTGATACTGAATTGTGGAATAAAATTGAAGTGTTTGTAACTTTGTTTGCCAATTAGCACGCGACAATACGCTGTTCAAACTATTGAACGAAATTGTGTGGACTGTCAATAAGGCGATAATTTTTAATTTTAAATATAAATTATAAGTTAAAAAAGAACATAACAGGCAGAGAAAACGTAAATATAAGTATTGAACTGTTTTTGTATGGTATTTATGATCTATTTGAATGACAGCTTTGCAAGCAAACAAATCATAATGCGCTAGCGTGCATTATGTTTCTTTGCTTGCAAAGCTGTGTCATTCAAATATATCATAAATACCATACAAAAACAGTTCAATGCTTAAGTATTTTCATGGTTTTTTGTTTTCTTTTTGTATGTTTTGTTTGTTTTGTTTTTTGTTTTTGGGTGATAAAATAACATATTTGATGGAATGATTTATACCAAACTGCTCCCTTAATAAACAAACATTTACCATTTTGAAAATCCTTGCTTACATAATTATACAAAAGAGTGCATCTTTACATGAAATGTAAACCAGAAAATTTGAAATTGATTTGAGTAAGAGTGAGTGAGTGAAATGACCATTTCAATTTGAATTATGTTTATAGAACACCATTAACTATGAAGGGATTCTGTGATTCTAGAGCCCATAGATCATATCTATTATGTTTGTTCTGTGAAAAAGAAATGCCGATAGACATACCTGATGTGAAAAACCGCATATAAACCGCATTATGGCATAGCATGTAAAAGTAGGGAGTAGAGAGGCACCAACCCCCGAGGCAAACAGGGCAATTTGTGACGTCACTAAAACAACCTTCCGTCCAAATTTGTCCGACAGCTGTGGTAAAAAAGCCGCTCCGACCATCTGACCGATCATCAGCAACATTTGGGACACCTCTGCTCTCTCCGCTCCCTCACACACGAGATCCCACTGTGACATGCAAAAAACAGAACAGCTCCGAAAGTCAACATATCCAATATTGGCCCACCTTGCTTCACTTCAACGTTTGGCCAATTTTTGTTCAGCGGAAGATTTGTGTACAGTAATAACCAATATTTGTTTAGTTATTGAGAAGCATATTTCACAAGATAATGAATAAAATGGTCTTAAATAGGTTGTTTTCTATTTAGAATTTCTATCCATAATTAAAATATCCTCGTCATCTCTAGCGTTGATGTACAAATAGCAACGTTTCATTTAAACTAATAACGTCTTTTCTATGTTATTATCATTGAAAAAGTACCATTTCCTTAACGCTCATTCGGTCCATTTCTGGACCTTATACTGCACAACATGGTAATTTCGGTCATTTAAGACTCATCAATGGTACAGTGTACTACATGTCAAAAGAATGGAAACCCAAGTGTAAAGTCTAAACAAATCTGGGAAAATAGCGAAAGAGGGAAAAGGCCTCTTTCCCTTAACAACATCAGATCATATATTGTTTAAATAGTATTCTTGTAAAATGTATCGAACTTAATTCCAATTCACAGTTAGGGCTGAGAGTTCACCAGCAGATCAAACCAACTTGTTACGTAGAATCTTCACTAGAAATTAATACGAAGTAAGGAATAATTCATTTACATCCGTAATACACATTCGATCCCTCTCTAGTCCGTACTTTTGTATACTATTGAAGCATCTTTGTAACACACATTCAGTCTTTCTCTAGCCAGTATTTATGCTAACCGATGAATTACTTTTATAACACATATCAGTCTTTCTCTAGCCAGTATTTATGTTTACCGATGAATGACTTTTGTTACACACATCAGTCTTTCTCTAGCCACTACTTATGTTTACCGATGAATGACTTTTATAACACATATTCGGTCTATCACTATCCTGTACCCATGCATACCGACGACTTACCTCTGTAACAAACGTTCGATCTTTCTCTAGATCGTACGTATATCCTGCCGGACATGGTGACAGTTTCATCAGAGTCGTGTTGGTACCATTTATGAGGATATCAACGTGACAGGCTTGGTAAAGAGGAGTGAGACTGGCGTTCGACAGTGTGTCATACATACTGGTCGTATTCCCGAGGTCAGCACATTGGTACGATGGACGATATCCTAAGGACATAAAATATATCCTGAAAACGTGACCAAATATAGAGGGAAAATCATATGACCAATTGTCATATGGAGGGGGGATGAATCAATGCCAAACCTGAGAGCTTGTTCAATTTTTCAACAACCAAGAATAGGCTGGGATACTTTTTTTCGGGAAATGGAACTTGGAGGTTCCCAGGCCCTAACCGTCTATCATAGGAAACGATCGAGACCCACGCCATTCAACACATCCCACTGCATGTGTATCGTAATAGGTTACTACTGTGGTATCCCCTGCTGATTCGGAGTTTGTTTTCCGTGTCTTCGTTCAAAGGGACATGGAAGAGATCAAAATTGATCTGCTGCCCCATTACCATACTTAGAATTTTTCGTTTCCTATCTTTCCTGTCTTCTTTCTTTTCCATCTACTTTCTCATTCCGCTGGTGTCTCACTAGGTACCCGTCCTCAAAATGACATTGGCTGTTGCGAGGACGTTAAACCCCAAACAAAAAACAAACAAAAACGTCTAACGCCATCGAATGGACACTGGTAAACAAGGTGAAAAATAAACAGTTCTCAAATAGATGAGCGAGTGGACAGAGATGTTGCTTCTGGGCAAAGTTTTGCTAACCTATACAAAATGATAGGATAAATGCAATAGGAGCGGATAAAATTGCGTTTATCTATGATTGCTCTGTTTGAAGTGTCTGCATATTGATAACTATTTCATAAATTGTGAGTGCGCCAAATACCCGTCATTGAGTATTACTTAGACGGTTCCTGTACTCTACTGTCGATTACAATGACAACTTAACCGATAAACACCTATGAAAACAACATATATATTACCAAGGTTACCATGGAAACGTCAATAAATGTTACCTACCTACTAGAGACAATAATCAAAAACTGGAAACCTTCGGATACCAACAAAGATTGCACACATTTATAAACCAAAGCCATTAAAGTGAACCTTTTAAGGATTGTCGGGTGGCGCAGTAGATAGCGCACTTGCCTTTAACAAAGACGGCCGGGGTTCGACTCCCCGATCGGACGCTAAAAGGTATTGGGTCACCTGCCCGACAACGTCCTCCGGGTACTCTACAGTGTACCACATCAAGACACTCTGCACACTTCCATCCGTTCCAATAAGAGTGAATAATATAAGTTATATAAGAAATCCTGTTTCATATTTGTTGTAAAATAACTTGGATAATTAAGTTAGATAATTAATGAGTTATTTTAAATATAAACTGAAGGAAACAAACAATAATATCTAGCTATTTAGGCGATTACCATAAAATCATCATCAAAGATTACCTAACTAAAATTATTTACCTTGAACACATCATATTACCTACCTATAAATACGATAACCATTAGATGTACAGACTCAGAAAACACTGAAGTAAGTTGTAGAAAAATCTGAATACATTGATATCGTCCCCATACTCCTAATGTCCTCCAGGCATCATCTAGGTAGTTAAGTTTTGCCATGGTGTTTGTGGACAGGATAAATTGCCGAATGTGAATCGATTTAGACCAGTACTGTTTAGTTCTCTTACAAATATCACCCAACAAGTACAGGTAAACATATTACTATACATGTATTCTGAAGCGGCTGCGAAAATGCTTATATATATGCAGTAACATTTGGGAGCTGACATCACATGATATTCGCGGTAATAAGTCGTGAACATTGATGGTATTCTAAAATGTATTAAAGTGTTGACACGATGGTGAAATATCTTACCTATCGAGCGGTGATTTATTTGGTTGCTTAACCCGAGGCTCTGCCGAGGATAAGAAAAGAGCCGAGTGTAAGAAAAACAAAAAAATATCCGTGTTGGATACTATGCATAAAAACAATAAGTTTTCTACCCTGAGTTGCACATAATCTGTCCTAATCACCCCTACAGGTCGGGAAACAAGAAAATAATACACCTGCTTTTACCCATTGCATATATAGTTTAAAGGGGCATCACGCTGAAGTAACTTTTTTTTTGTCTTTTTTCCAAATACTACATAAACATATCAAGTGAGACTCCTTATGGAAAATGCCGATCGGATTTGGCTGAAATAGATTCATAAAAATGATTAAATCTAAGATAATCATCGGTATTTCTACCTGTCTGACCAACGTTTTGTTCAGGGATTTCCCTCTACTAGCGCATGCGCATAGCACACCATTTCTTTGTAAACAAAATGACTGGCCGTGTGAAGTAAGCCAAAGAAAAGTGTTGTACCGTGTCAGCTACGAAGCGAATAGTTGCCAAATGGTCAAAAGATAGCGCAAGGGGTACGTTACGGAATCATTATTGCCAGTGGGAAGTATTCAAAGCAGAAAATAACTGCCCTAGCAGTCAGTACGGTGCATGTTTTCTTCCGGATAGCGGCCGGTTAAGCTGAAATAAAATCGACAGAAATGCTAGCGCTGTTTATGTTATGAATAAATATCTAAAACTATTAACCTCGCTAGTATCATTGTGTGAGTTTGAACACAGATGAACTTAGTTTAATATGTTAATGGGCATGTATCGGAGAGAGTTTACTTTGTGTTTTTTATAATTATACAGTGGTTTATGCAAACGAAAGGGATAAGTGACTGGTTAGTTTGATTTTGCCATGAGGCCCCCCAAGGGATAACTGCTGTGATGGCCACGGCGTATTCTGTTCTCTGATCCTCTGTCGGTGCTCGGGGTCAAATGAGATACGTGCGCTATTAGATTTACATAATTTATAATATTACCGGGATCAGTAAAATGGTATGATTTAATTATATTGCTGAATTAAACGATTGTTTTTTGTTTTGACATGCAAGTTTTAAATTAGTACTAATATAATACCCGGCCTGCCCTGGCGCGACGACGCAATATATAAAAAAAAAATCGCTCTTCGTCAGAAAGCTACGTTATCGCAGCTAGATTAAAAATGTCAAAATGACGGACCAGGATGAATAACTGAGGAAGGAGAACCTACTTCTAGTAAATAGGATCGCATAACACTTTTTTTTTAAATCGTAATTTTTCAACAGTTCATGTTTTCATATGATGTTGACTTAGAATGTATGATCATGTAACAACCTTTTCTCTATAAAGAATAAATTTTCGACTTCAGATAGAATCGGAATACGTATTGAAAACAGGGGAAAAAATATTTGATTACGTTATAAAAATGGCGCGTGCTGCCGATAACTACGGCTTCTGTTTCGGACCAAAGGAACTGATTAAAGAAAAGTTGTCTCAGCATAAAAAGGTCCATTTAAAAGTATGCTTTAATCTCTGTAAAGTATTGAAAAAATATAATTATCAAGTATCTCAACACGTTCCTTATTGACACATATTCTACATGTACACGTAGTGGTTTTGCCATACAGTTTATTGTGTGTGATGGTTAATATGACTTCCTAAATGTTAGCGTTTGGAGACAGTGAAAGTGGGAAAGAGAGTATACATAGATTTATATTCATGGTCTAGAAAAAAAATGGCCAAAGACATTGAGTTGTTTAATGTAATAAATAAATTCACAAACGTTTCCTTTTTATATTCGCGTGTAGTTTGTCATTGCATATATGCACTTTATGTAAACATTTGAAAAGGGATATTCGTCTCGTGAATATTCCTTTTTACAGAAAGGTTTGTCCCATTGTTGAGGGAGTGTTTAGCCCCGTACCACCTGTACCGGTCACGGGAGAAGGCTGTGATAAATTGTAAAAACTTGTGCCCCATCCTTTGTTTAATTTTATTGGCAACAAATTTATGTTAAAAGCTAAATAAATTTAAATTCTTAATATTGGCAAGTGTGCAATTAACTTCTGATGATGAATAATTACTGTTCAATAAGTTTGAATACGGAATTAGAAATCATATAACTTGGTTTCATAGTGCGGTAAGAAGTTGCAGTTGCCTGACGGCCCCTCTCTGAGGGCCCCTTTGTAAACCGTTTCATCTCGCTCGCACCACTTGTGTTTGCTGCCTAATCAGGTGACGTTATCGGCGCTATTTTTAGCCGGGCTTTCCCGAACAATTCAAGTGGTCAAACTGGACATTTGGAACGGACTATGAATATGGGGATAGCGAGGTAACATAAGTGGAAGTGTATACAATACATACATTCATTAAAAAAAAACCGCCTTTTCACGTGATGTCCCTTTAAGAAGCGAATAATGTGAGAACCGCGGCAGAATTGTGGATTTGTGCCCTCTACTTTGGGAAACAAAAGTGACAAAATTAAATCTGCTGCATCAACTGCAATAGTTGGGATCTTTATATTTCTCTCCACCTCTAACTTCCTTTAAATTCCTAGCTTCCTGCCTTGTTTGGCAATACCTCGCTTTTGGATTTGATGTTGAGCGTACGTCCAGGAGAGGAAGGCAATGGGTTCTGTGCCCAGGCCGGGACATACCAAAGTCCTTAAAAATGGTAGTTGTTATTACCTTCTTAATGTTTAACATTTTAGGAAATGGCAACAACTGGTTCACCCGTTGTCAGTATAGTATGACCGGGCAGAATGCTGTGCCTGGTGCCCTCGGCATGGTATTTCAGTGAGATAGCACTATGAAATCGGCAATAAGTTTCAAACAAATTAAAACCCTATATTTATATCGGCGTACGCCTTTGTTTGAAATCGAAGCTCGCATAACACGAGAACATAGGTAGTAGGTGGAATGGTACGCAATGTTGAAAAGTCAAAAGTTTTGAAAGAAGAAACATGTTTGAGTAGAGGATGTAATCGATTGGACTACACAAATGTCACTATAAAGCCTTCATATATATTCTTTTTTCAATCCAAGAATTAATTAAAACAGATAACACGTCAAACCTCGTTATTTTCCTGTTGCAGCTGTCACAAGCATCCATTTTAACAGCAAACAATACAAATGCGTATATATATCAGTATTTGTGTTGACTACTTAGTATAGTGAATACAGTGATATTCGTTGGAAAAGATCTAATCAACAATGGGCATTCATTAACTGTATCAAGTATTCTCCACACAGTCAAAATTCATCATGGTTTACAATTTTCTGTTTTCCATAATAAAGTCACAAAAGTTGTACACGAACAAGGATGATTTTTTCTGAATGTGATCTCTGAATACAGGTTTGTGATTTCAGTTTACAGTAAAACCCCGCTAACTCCAACTCGTGGGGTCCAGATCAATAGTTCGAGGGTTACATGGTATTCGACGAATCCGAGGTTCGACCGACATCGTCATTTTGTTTTATCAGGTGTGACGACAGACAGTACGAGCGCACTGTAAATATGGCGGATAGTAGAAGATAGAAGTAAAAGAGAAGTTTATTAAAGACGACAACATTTAATAAGATATAAATTAGCTGACCAATGAAAACATGAAGCCATCGGTATTAAGAAATAAAATGAAATACAAAGGCTGCCTGTGTAACGTACTTGTCGTTTTGACACAGTCCGCCATTCTGTAATAGGCAAAGTTAGTTTTACAAAATATCAAAATGCAAGGAACTCTTCGTTCATTTTAAAATGAAGAAAATCTTGACTCCCTGTTATCATAATGTTAACTGATAACAAAATTAACAATCACGACGTATTCAATTATGAATATCTTTAAAGATGGTCCAGAATCCGCTATGTGATTCCTTTTTAAGATTTTAAATATGTTTTGATTATACAAAAAATATAAAAGTGGTGTGCATTTCTAAAGACATATTCATTTTAAACACTTTCACAAAACCATTGCCGATACTTAAAGACATTGAAGTGCCATTTTTACCTTTTCTGTGCTTTAATAAGACGTTGGGAGTAATTTCATATTTGCTACAATGTTGACATCATTAACTGCATGGATGGATAGCATAAAAACCTATTGAATGCACTTACCAACTGATTTTAAGTTGTTGCGTTATCAAATGAAGAATTCATTAAAACAGATAGCACGTCAAACTTCGTGTTGTTATCATTTTCCCGTTGAAATTGTTACAAGCACCAATTTATAAAGCAAACAATACGTATGTGTATGTAAATCAATCTTTGTATTTACTACTTAATGTAGTGAACGCAGTTAAGCGATATTCGTTTGAAAATATTTCATTAACAATGGACCTCTGAAATTATGAATATAACTCCGTACACATAACGTAACGATATACAATGTGGTAGAAGGAATCTTCATAAACCAATGTTTTTTTTATCTGAAATGAGCAAAACCACATTATCAGGAACTCTAGTCTTGCTCGGCGTCAAATTGTCAAATGAGTGGGTGTTACATGGCATAAGTCGAGATAAACCTTTGTATCTACTAACTGGGTGATTTCTGTCTGCCGGACGTAAGCACTACACGAAGCGATAAGTTTCGAAGTATCTGTCCTTACCAAAATGTCGTTTTCGTGTTTAAAAATCGCGTTTTTTCTTACTGTTATTTCCTATAGTAACGGGTCTGATGAGAAGCGAATTCTTCTCAGTGATCCACAGTACATACAACAGGAGATGACCAGATTCCAGTCCGAGCTTCAGGAGATGAGAGTCAAGTACAACGATCTACAGGCCAAGTATGACGCACAGAATACCGAGCTGTTGTCTCTTCAGGCCAAGTATGACGCACAGAATACCGATCTGTTGTCTATTCAGGCCAAGAATGACGCACAGAATACCGATCTGTTGTCTCTTCAGACAACCGTTACAGGACTTCCAGGTAAGTCGAATTGATTATTTTTGTGGCAAAGCATTTTTTTTTGTTCCTTTTTAGAAAACGAATATGACCATGGTATAGAGGATTAAAAGTATAATAAAGAACACATGTTTATTCCGTAACTTCTAAACGATTTTTACTATTCCAAATTTATTAGAAATGTTATGCATCTCCACCGTGCATTACGTCTGATTTTGTCTTCATCGGAGACATCAACTTCAGTGCTAGAAAAACATAGGTTTATTGTTTCTTCGTGTGTTTTTTGATAGAAATCATATATACAAACTCTAATAATTGATTAAAATGTCATCACAATGTCATAGCTCAGAATGTTTTCTTTAATAATACAGTTAATTTTGATCATATGCAATATATTGGTCCTTATTGTAACCCACGACAATGCAAGATATCGTATTTCCCCAGTAGTTTTAATTCTTTTTTATTTGTAACTCATCGGTTTTTTTCACTGATAGAGTCAGTTCCGAATTTTTAATTAGTTCACTTTGTGTCCAATATTGCATGATTTAATTTAATTTGCATGACATCAAATTGATTATAATGTCGTTTGAAAACACAATACATCAGTTATCGAGTTGTTCTCGGTGGTTATACAAGCTAACAAATAAAGTATGCAGAATTACCCGATTACGTTTGTTTATGCATAATTAGAAAAAAATCCAGAAACTGCTTAAAGTTTACGAATGTGTGTATTTTAGCACGTGACCAGCAGTTTTAACTACTTATTTAAAACTAAAATTCTTAGGACAGTTGTAAATAATCCTTTTACGTTCTATATAAAATTGACAGGCGGCAGAGGAGCAGTGTTTACAAGGTGGGGAAGGAATGACTGTCCCGCCAATACAACAACCATGGTTTACTCAGGTACATTTAAACCTCGATATAGTGCCCCTTATTACATTTCCCACCTCGCTTAACGCCAACATATTTCCAGGTCCATTTTTCTCATAATATTGAAAATGGTTTTGTATATTTCCCCACATATCGCCAATCCCCTTTATAACGCCAACATTTATCTAGACAAACGGTGGCAGTATAACGAGGTTTTACATTAGTTGATTTATTTTCCATAGTTCATATCAACATTGGCTCGGTGTAATATTGGTGTGTTGAATTATCATATAACCTAAATAATTAACAAGACATGACTTTATAATATTGTCACTATACATGTTTGATAATAGACATATGTCATTGTAGTTTCAAAATACACACGTCAATGTTGAATGAGTGGCTGAAGAAGAACACGCAAACCTTCCTTTTTCAGACCGTAATAATTATGAAGATTTATTTGTTTCGGTGTTATTTTAACTTAATGCCAAACTAACATGCTATGTGTATGTATTAATACAGGATATGCTGGTGGGTCTTATTTTACCCACCCTGGAGCGGCAGCAGAATACGTCTGTATGCCTACCGATCCAATATGGGGACCCTACAAGGATTACGTTTACGGCAACGAAAATGTTGGATACATATATGGGGCTGAGTACGAAGAACCTGCACATATTTTTAGTATGCCAAATTCCGCAGAGGACGTACCGTGCTCCGTCTGTCTTGGTTCATCGCACAGCGCCTCCCTCATGATCCCGGGTAGGACACAGTGCTATCCCGGATGGACGGAGGCCTATCATGGTGAGCTAGCCTCCGGTTACCATGGCCATGCTGCAGCCTCGCAGTATGTCTGTGTTGATCAAGATCCACAAACCCTTCCCGCGGGAGGTACCCATGATGAGAATGGTAAATTATTCTATGGTGTCAAAGCTAAATGTGGATCATTACCTTGTCCACCGTATGAGGACGGGAAATTCCTCTCGTGTGTTGTGTGTATGAAGTGAATAAAGTATCAACATGTATTCAAATTATGAAAATAAAAGAAAGCAAATATATCGTTCCTGCTCCTTTCTGTTCAGTGATATAATAAGTCTTAATATACTTGAAATTTTCAAGGAGGTTCACCTGCCAAAAAATGCATTGTCTTACAGTAAATCGAATACAGCTATCAAAATATAATTTACTCCGTATGAAAACAATTGTATTTGCGTTTTAATACTACTGTTTGCTTCCAGAAGAGAATTATGTAAAACTTCATCATATTCCTACCAAAGTGACGATAGAAGTAAATGACTCATAGAAATAATTTGAACATTTATCCCTCTGATACAAAGCAGACTATGGTTATGATCAACTGAAATGCAAATGCAACGTTTCACTATTTATTGTTTGATTTATTTGTTTCTAAATGAAAGAATTCCTCCCTATCTTCTGCAAATCGGTGTTTAGATGGTATAGCATTACCTCATCAACTGATATGTGATCAATATAAATCGGATAAAAAGGTAAATTATAACACCACAGGATTATAATTGCATAAACATTTAATCGGACGTCAACATCCTTTTAATAATAATGGTTGAACCATCCGCGAAATTCCAAGAGTTATGCTCACTTAAGTTATCTGCACCCCAGGAATATACCATGGCACAATAGAAGGCACGCGGTTAGATATTTGGCAGGTTTCAGATTAAAACAAAACTGACAAAAAACGCCTCGCTGGTACATGTACATAACCAATTTTACCGTTGTATTGCCGAGCAAATCTTTTGGTGTACATCAAAGATCACCCTAGCCTAATTGGGTTGGTTTGTTTGTGGTTTACGTCCTGTTAACAGCTATGTTCATTTAAGGACGTGCCAGTGTTTTGTTGGTGAAGGAAAGCCGGAGTTCCCGGAGAAAAACCACCGACCAACGGCCAGTACCTAGGGCCAGTGTTGGATGACTAGCGGAAGCAGAATGCCAGACGCCTTAACCACTTGGACACTGCGGCTCCCATTGTTTACTAATTGTATCCTCCACAGGGTTACACGTACCGAGCCTTAGATTTAGTTGTGGCACATCCCAAGGTAGCAGAGAACATAAGAGAGCGTAATCCATGGGATTGCAAGGATCTTTTGATTCAAACGCAGAAAAAGACAATAAAACTACCGCAAATAATCTGTGAGTAAAATTTGCATGATAAGCATAATAATGTAACTTTTTAACTGTTACTTAAGCGACAGGGAGGCTAAGCATGAACATGAAATACCAGTTATACGTCTACTAAACACTTATGTGTATACCATTCATACAATCACCAAAGTAATATTTATATGTTATTATTACCGTGATTTAACAAATAATTCCAAAGTATTGCAGTCTGTTTTTAAACAACGAGAGAATACTGAAGAACAAAACCACAATTCGAACTCAAACTCAAAATCATTGATAAAAATAGGGTAAATATGAACAAATGAAAAATGTACATGGAGACCCCTGCAAAAGGAGAAGGAGTTTAAGACCTGATGGTCCGAAAGGGTAAGCGTCTTTTCCTTTCTCGAGGACACACGTCATGAAAATCTCAGTCGAAATATAGTAATGTCACGACCTCGCATCGAGAACTCGGGAAGTGATAACAAAACCACAAGGAACTCTAGTGAGCATAATAAAAATATAGACCCTCAGATCACACAAAACAGTAATATATTTCCTGTGATATCCTTATGAGAACTATAAAACTTGTCCATAGTCTTTATCAACCTGCATCTTAGGAAACCCTGTTTTGTAAGTTTGTCCGGCAGCAGTCGACATCTAACACTGAAGTCATGATATTCGGAGCAAGCTCTTGAGTATCGAATCAACTGCGACATGTAAACACCGTGCGTAGGTGAAGTAGAGATGTTGCTATCAAGGAGTGAAAGATCACGATAGGAAAGTCGAAATCGTTTCTCTTATCATACAGCTTAGTAGGATGCCGTCCCTGTTGGTAATGTTGTAAGTAAAGACCGAGGAAAGCGGCTGAAGCTGAAGAGTCTTTATTGTCCTCGATTCAAGCTCTTGAGTATATACAATCGATGTGATTACTAAATGTTTTTCAAATACAGCACATTGTCGATTTATCTGTGTGAAATTAAAGGAATTTGCTATGTTTTTGTTACCATTCCTAATTAGTTCATCAATGAATTTGGTTTCGTATGCTAACAGAAAAAAAGTGCCAGCAGAGGGGTACAGTTTCTTTCTATGGGAATGCCTACAGTCTGCTTGAAAATCTTTGGCAACGAACTCAACATGGATTTTGTCAAACGGAACTCAGTCATTCTCACAATTCCGTCGTCAGAATAGCTTAGCCTCTGTTGTGCTTTTAACGAAACAAACTCCATATTAATTTAAAACACATATTGATATCGGTGTACGCCTTTCTTTGATAAGGAAGCTAGCATAACAAGAGAACGTAGGCGTTCCTTTAGTCTGATATGAGGAATGGGACGTAGTGTGCACGATAGGAAAGTCAAAAATTGTGATAGTACAAAACATTCTTGAAAAGAGGATCGCTAAGTACAAGTTTGAAATTTAAGTATAATTCTTTTTTAAGATTCGAAATATACTTTGATTATATAGCATATAAAAGTGATGTGCATTTCCAAAGACATATTCATTTTCAATGCTTCCACAAAACTTGTTCCGATACTTGAAGACATTGAATTGCTAATGTTTTACCCTCCCTGTGCTTTATATGACGTTGTGAGCAATTTCAGTATTGCTACAACGTTGACATCATTAACTGAATGGATGGATAGCATTAAAAACTCTTCAATGCTATTTACCAACAGATGTATAAGGTGTGGCGCCATTAAATGAAGAATTAATTAAAACAGATAACACGTCAAACCTCGTTATTTTCCTGTTGCAGCTGTCACAAGCATCCATTTTAACAGCAAACAATACAAATGCGTATATATATCAGTATTTGTGTTGACTACTTAGTATAGTGAATACAGTGATATTCGTTGGAAAAGATCTAATCAACAATGGGCATTCATTAACTGTATCAAGTATTCTTCACACAGTCAAAATTAATCATGGTTTACAATTTTCTGTTTTCCATAATAAAGTCACAAAAGTTGTACACGAACAAGGATGATTTTTTCTGAATGTGATCTCTGAATACTGGTTTGTAATTTCAGTTTACAGTAAAACCCCGCTTACTCCAACTCGTGGGGTCCAGAACAATGGTTCGAGGGTTACATGGTATTTGACGAATCTGAGGATCGACCGACATCGTCATTTTGTTTTATCAGGTGTACATGTGACGACAGACAGTATGAGCGCACTCTAAATATCGCGGATAGTAGATGATAGAAGTAAAAAAGAAGTTTATTAAAGATGACAACATTTAATAAGATATAAAATAGCTGACCAATGAAGACATGTAGCCACCGGTATTAGGAAAGGAAATAAAATACAAAAGCTGCCTGTGTAACGTACTTGTCGTTTTGACACTGTCCGCCATTCAGTAATAGGCAAAGTTAATTTTACAAAATATCAAAATGCTAGGAACTCTTCGGTCATTTTAAAATAAAGAAAATCTTGAATTCCTGTTATCATAATGTTACTTGGTAACAAATTAACAATTACGACGTATTCAAGTATGAATATCGTTAAAGATAGTCAAGAATCCTCTATGTGTTTCCTTTTTAAGATTTGAAATATGTTTTGATAATAAAAAATATAAATTTGATGTGCATTTTCTTAAGATATTCATTTTTACCACTTTCACAAAACTATTGCCGATACTTAAAGACATTGAAGTGCCATGTTTACCCTTCCTGTGCTTTATAATTAAGACGTTGAGAATTAAAACAGATAGCTCGTCATGTTTTAATAATTTTCCTGTTGAAGCTGCTACAAGCATCGATTTAAAATTTAAACAATACGTATGTGTATGTAAATCAATCTTTGTATTTACTACTTAATGTAGTGAACGCAGTGAAGCGATATTCTTTTGAAAATATTTAATAGACAATGGACCTCTGAAATTATGAATATAACTCCGTACACATTACGTAACGATATACAATGTGTAGAAGGAATCTACATGAACCAATTTTATATCTGAAATAAGCAAAATCATATTATCAGGAACTTTAACCTTGATCGGCGTCAAAATGTCAAATGAGTGGGTGTTACATGTCATGAGTCTAGATAAACCTTTTTATCTACCGACTGGGTGATTTTTGTCTGCCGGGCGTAAGCACTACACGGATCGTTAAGTTTAGAAGTGTCTGTCCCTATCAAAATGTGGTTTTCGTGTTTAAAAATCGCTTTTTTTCTAACTGTTATTTCCTATATTAACGGGTCTGATGAGAAGCGAATTCTTCTCAGTGATCCACAGTACATACAACAGGAGCTGACAAGATTCCAGTCGGAGCTGCAGGAGATGCAGGTCAAGTACAATGCAATATCGAACCAGAATACCGAATTGCAATCCCTGCAGGCTACCGTAACAAATCTGCAAAACACCGTGTTAACTCAAGACGCAATTATCAAAAGACTACCAAGTAAGTCGAATTATGGCACAGCATTTTTTTCCATTTTTGAAAACAAATCTAAGTATGGCATAGATGGTTGTGAAAATGATAAAGAAAATGTATGTATATTCCTTAAATTCTAAACGGTTTTTAGTATTCCAAACCTATTAGAAATGTTCAGTAGCTTGTCCGTGCTTTGTGGTATCACACCTGCAAAACAGCTAATTTTGTTTGCATCGGCGACATCAATTTCAGGTCTAGAAAAAAGGTATGTTTATTCTTTGTCTGTTTGTTTTCTGATAGAAATTATAAAATCATCACAGTGCCATAGCTCAGATATTTTACAACTGATTTGTATAATATGCATTACATATTCTCATTTAGCCCACGACAATGCAATGTATTTTCCTAGTAGTTATAATTCCTTTTTATTTGTAACTCATCGGGTTTTTTCACTGATATAGTCGACAAATAGGTCAAATTCGAATTTTTAATTAGTTTACTATATATCCAATATTCCATGATTTAATTTAATTTGCATGAAATCGAATTGATTACAATGTCGTTTTAAAACACTATACATCAGTAATCGAGTTTTTCTCGGTGGTTACAAAAACTAACAAATCAAGTATGCAGAATTGACCGATTGCCTTTGTTTATAAATAACAAGAAAAACCCTCAAGAAACTGCTTACCTTACGAATGTGTGTTTTTGAGCACGTGACCAGCAACTTTTTAATATATAAAACTACTAATTTGAAACTCTAAAAATCTGATGACAGTTGTAAATAATCCTTGTACGTTCTATATAAAATTGACAGGCGGCAGAGGAGCAGTGTTTACAAGATGGGGAAGGAATGACTGTCCTGTCAATACAACAACCATGGTTTACTCAGGTACATTTAAACCACGATATAGTGTCCCTCATTACATTTGCCACCTCGCTTACCGCCAACAGTTTTCCAAGTACATTTTTCTCATAATATTGAAAATGGTTTTGTATATTTCCCCACATATCGCCAATCCCCTTTATAACGCCAACATTTATCTAGACAAACAGTGGCAGTATACCAAGGTTTTACATTAGTTGATTTATTTTCCATAATTCATTTCAACATTGGCTCGTTGTGATATTGGTCTGTTGAATTATTATATAACCTAAATAATTAACAAAAATGAGTTAATAATATTGTCACTAAAACAAGTAAGTAGATTTGGTGAATATTTGCAAAAGTTCCTTGGTAAGATACATGTTTGATAATAGACGAATGACATTGTAGTTTCAAAATACACACTTCAATGTTGAATGAGTGGCTGAAGAAGAACACGCAAACCTTCCTTATTCACACCGTAATAATTATGAAGATTTATCTTTTTCGGTGTTATTATAACTTAATGCCAAACTAACATGCTATGTTGATGTATTTATACAGGATACGCTGGTGGGTCTTATTTCACCCACCCTGGAGCTGCAGCAGAATACGTCTGTATGCCTAGCGATCCAATATGGGGACCATACAAGGATTATGTTAGCAACGAATATTTTGGATACGTGTATGGGGCTGAGTACGAAGTACCTGCACATATTTTTGGTATGCCGAATTTATCAGAGGACGTACCGTGTGCCGTCTGTCTTGGTACACAGTACACAGCCTCCCTCATGATCCCGGGTAGGACACAATGTTATCCCGGATGGACGGAGGGCTATCATGGTGAGCTAGCCTCCGGTTACTATAACCATGCTGCAGCCTCTCAATATGTCTGTGTTGATCAACATCCACAAGCCCTTCCCGCCGGAGGTAACCATAATGAGGATGGTAAATTATTCTATGGTGTCAAAGCTAAATGTGGACCATTACCTTGTCCACCGTATGAGGACGGGAAATTCCTCTCGTGTGTTGTGTGTATGAAGTGAATAAAGTATCAACATGTATTCAAATTATGAAAATAAAAGAAAGCAAATATATCGTTCCTGCTCCTTTCTGTTCAGTGATATAATTAGTCTTAGTATACTTGAAATTTTCAAGGAGGTTGACCTGCCAGAAAATGCAGTCTTACAGTAAATCGGAAACAGCTATCAAAATATAATTTACTCCGTTTGAAGACAATTGTATTTGCGTTTTAATACTACTGTTTGCTTCCAGAAGAGAATCATATAAAACGTTATCATATTCCTACCAAAGTGACGATAGGGAAGATATGACTCATAGAAATAATTTGAGCATTTATCCCTCTGATACAAAGCAGACTATGCTTATGATCAACTGAAATGCAAATGCAACGTTTCACTATTTATTGTTGGATTTATTTGTTTCTAAACGAAAGAAATCCTCCCTACCTTCTGTAAAATCAGTGTTGAGATGGTATAGCATTATCTCATCAACTGTGGTCAATATAAATGGGATAAAAAGGTAAATCATAACCACAACATTATAAATGCATAAACTTTTTTCCGGAAGTCAACTCATTCATGATAATGGCTGAACCATCCTTGAAATTCCAAGAGTTTCGCTCACTTATGTTCTGGAATACATCATGGCAAAATAGTAGGCACGCGGTTAAGTATTTGGCTAGTTTCAGGTTAAAACAAAACTGACCAACGAACGCTACACTGATACTTGTACATAACCTTTAAAGATCACAAAGAACGACGCCCGACCGGTGAAGTTTACCGTTCTACTGCCACGTAATTCTTTTGGTGTACATCAAAGGATCAAACTAGCTTAATTGGTTTAGTTTGGTTTGTTTGTGGTTTACGTCCTATTAACAGTTATGGTCATTTAAGGGAAATGCCATGGATTTGTTGGTGGAGGAAAGCTGGAGTTCTCGGAGAATAACCACTGACCAAAGGCCAGCACCTGGCGACTACCCCACGTAGGCCTCAAACACGCGACCCAGTGGTGGAAGGCTAGTGGTAGCAGAATGTCAGATGCCTTAACCACTTGGCCACCGCAGCCCCATCGTATCCTCAACAAGGTTACACGTACAGAGCCTTAGCTTTAGTTGTGACACATCCCAATTTAGCAGGAAACATAAGAGGGCGCAATCCCTGGGGTTTCAATGATGTTCTGATTCAAACGAAGAAAAAGACTATAGAGCTACCGCAAATTATCTGTGAGGCGTGGTAAGCAAAATATTAGAATTAAGAATGAAGCGACAGCGAGGCTAAACATTAATCAGATCAGTTTGGCCAGTTAAAGGGTCATTGATATCATGATTTGATGATATAAAGCTGCCAAACACTAATAACAACAGTAAGATAGGACTTTTATCAATCAGCGATAAGTTAACACGCACGAGACACTAACCTGAATAATAGTTCTTCATGAGGATGTAAATAGAAATCTTAAAGCTGAAATGGCTTGCACAATATTACAAAAATAATTGTTGATAATACAAGATAAAAAAAAATATCATAAAAATAACAAAGTGGCATTTACATTTCTGTATATGTTTTCAATAAATTGGATTTAAATTGGTCAGAGAAAGAGACAACCATGCAATAACAAAAACTATGAGAATTAAACTCATAACTGTTATTCATTTATGCAACGGTGATCATATCTATCCAGCTACGCTTCGTTGAAAATCTTGCTATAGATGTTGGAGAGTCCACAGACCCCCTCATCTCGATCCAGAACTTGCCCGCTGCGGCGTATCAAGATGGCTTCCTTTATCTGCTACTTGAACAATTGCTCCATGTCCAACAATTTGAAGTTATCCAAGTCAATTATATGGTTTTGATGTATGGCATGGTCTGTGGATGCCGATTTATTTATCTGGGACTACGACTGCTTCCTTTCTGGTTAGGAGAATTCCTTTCCCTCTTGATTTTCTGTTTCTTTCCGGTGTTCACTAAGTCGGACCCCAACTCGCCTTCCAGTTTCTTCCATACATGATGCACCGCCGTGCTTGAATCCGATTTTGTGTATGCCTTCTGCGACGTTTCCTTTGGATGTTTTATCTTTAGGGTTTATCAGGATAATACGAAGCTTCTTGTGGGGATTCATGGCTGTCGCTATGTCGTGGCCGCAATATATCTTCTGAATGGTTTTTAATAGTCCCTTTGTATACGAAATGACCATTTGACCTTTCATGTTGCCCCTCTCCTTACTTTGACACTGTTTTTTAGGATATACACATGTTTTCATTTCCTAAGCAATGTGATTCTGCTGTTGCATTCTGTTCTTTTGTTCTGTGACAATTGTATCTCATCTGTTGAGCAAAGACCGTACTATGCCAAAATTCTAGTGCAAAGTATGATGAGATTTAAAGTTCGGATATGGAGTCCGTATGCGTCTTTTTCCTATAGACCAAGACGGTCATCTTCCTTTACCATTTGGCTATCTGTTCATGGAATCTGTTTTGTTAATATGTTTGATCAAAACCCTCGACCAAAAACCTTTCTTGTCGTCATCATATCGTTTCCATAGGTGGGCTTGTACTGTTTTGGGGCAATGGCTGTTATCTCCTGCTCCAGATATATCGATGTTCCCTGAACAAATTGGCCACAATAGGAGACACTGGACTGCCCTTATCAGTGCCGAAGACAGAAATATGTTGTTGTCAGCACAAATTCCAGCAAATCAAATCCATATGATGTCCCGATTCTGGAGATTTGAGTTCGTACGCCAAAACCCGTCCAACACTTTAAATTATTATAAGTGCATCGATTTTGGGTGTGTTGGCAAATAGAGAGAAACAACATTTGAAATAACCATGCCCTTCTCATCTGGTATTATCGTAAGAGAGCCCCATACAAGTAGGACGTTCTAGATGTGTGTTGTGTAGACCACAGTCCGGTGGACTGTCACAGTGTGGTGTATTTTTTTTTTAAAGATGTTGCCTTGCGAAGATTTTGTTCAGGAGTGAGTACGATAGTGTAATTTGCAGAGTGGTCATCTATCCCGTCACTGACCACGCCCAACGTTACTGGACAGCTCCTCCCTGTGTACCGATGTACATTCCCTTACACCCTTACCCCCACATCGGGTTATACCGTATCACCGGAAAAACTAGCTTGCTAGAAAGGCAATCTATTTCTAATCTGTATATATTTTATTTGCATTGCATTCTATTATGACATAAACATTGTTATCTTAGGAAAGGTTGTAGTGCTATGTTGTGGACTTCTTTGTAGACAGGTTAAACTTTTGGAGGCAATCTGATTGGGTTTGGTATTCGAGATAAAATGCTGCCTACTATTTAGTCGCTTTATACGCCGTTTAAATGTTGTATTTCACTTTATGAAATATGTTCTAACTTTTTTTTAATAATATTATGTCGAATTAACGTAATTATGTTTTGAAATTCCATTAACAATTATAAACGGTATAATTAACAGATAAGGAATTTGATGGGTTAAATTTTAAAATTTAAAAGACGGAAGCAAACAGTCAACTCAGTAGAAAATCCGTTTGAATTTGTGTGATAAAGTTTCGAATTTAAACTCCTATTTTTAGAAACAGTATTTTAATAGTGTCATGAAAGGGAAATTCCCTCTAGCTCGAAAGTAGAAGGCGACCGTGATCATAGTCATATCACGGAATTAGATTAGACCTCTTCCATTTTCATGGTCATGGCGTTAAAGTTACTATTACATTCGACGTGTATCAGGCTTGATGGCTACTTTGTCTCATATCTAAGTCCGTGGTCATATGTAAAATTAAAATCTACCAGACCCCTAAAACATGTAAAATTAATAAGATCATTGGGGGTGTCATTTTTACCGAAAGTCGATCTAAACCCATTACACATATAAAACTACTCTGAATACCTGAGTTTAGGTACAAATATAGTTGTAACAAATTCCCAGGTCCCTGTGGTTTTGACTGACGGCACAACTTGAGTCAAGGCAAAATTATAAAATAATGTATATAAACTTCTTTCGTTCAAGACCCGGCATACTTTCATCATTTCATATATAATACTGCTCGTATCAAATTTATATTGGTTTTTGATTCATACAATGATAGCAGTTAAGGTAAATCTTACTAGAAGGCTTAAAAATGAATCCGGTCCGATTCTTTACCAGCGGATGTAGATTTAGACACTCCTAAGTCTACATGACGTCATTTCCCGCCATCCGTAAACAAGCTCCTACCAACAGGGCGTTACGACAAAATGTGTGAAAATCTAATGCTAGTATGCGCTTTGCTCAGGATTGGCGTGTACTCGGTGAGTATATCGTTCATGGTTGTCATGGTGGTGTGCATAAACACAATGCAATCGGCTAACAACATGTCTGCACACGAGTTTACGTTGTTTGTATACTACATGTTAGTGTCTTGACTGCTAACTGTCATCAGTCCGATTGGTAGTACTAATATTGAGACCCGGCCTCCTCTGCCCCGACGCAATATATACAACAATCTCTCGTCGTCAGAAAGCTACGTTATCGCAGCTATCCGATTGTATGTTTATCGAAACTCAAACTGACATGTGGTCCCTGAAGGCGACTTCTGCTGTTCTGGCCCCAACACCAGATTTTAAACGTTTTAATAGGTTTGGCACAACGGCGCATATGATATGGGTAATAATCCTGCATTTGGGTAACAGTTACCCATTTGAGTAACAATTTTATTACTGAAATGGGGAATAAAGTGAAATAAAAACACAAAATTCTGTTACACACTTGGAGCAAAAAAGGGCGTCATTCTGTCAACTAAATCAAATAAATAACACAATGAAGTACATTTGTGCACAAAAATTTATCAATTCTGATGTCTAAGTTTTTGTGAAAAGGACAAACCATATCACTGACTTTGTTCTCTGTGGTACCGGTTATTCATCATGTAATTATTATTTTTATAGTTCTTCCGGAGACTGTGTGGATTTGGACCTCCCCCAGCCAAGCCAAATTTCACAGTGTTGTGTATTGGACTAGAAGGGTCTGGAAAGAGCTCCCTCTTGGCAGTGCTTAGTGGGGAAAAGTATGAAGACATACCACCAACTATTGGTAAGAACAGATAAAATAGAAATGTGTACATGTACCATAATTATACTTCTGACTTTTTGCAGACGTCAGTATCTTGAAAATTCATGATCTCTTAAAATATTCTTATTATTATATATACATGAAAACCCTAAATACATAGAGAGCTACAAGTGGAGACAATTCACTTGCACAAAATCATCATTTCTCAATGGAGTGTCTAGTTGGATGATGTGTATTATCAAAAGTAAAAGCTACCTTGTTTGTCTTGCAATAATCCCAGAAGCAGACCTGACACAAAGAAGGGACTGGGTTTATTACAAGCCAAAGAAAGAACGTTTGATGACTATTTAACTCATTCACCCATGAAGACACATTTGAACTCTTCCAATTCAAAGGTTGGAATAGTTCATCATGAAATTTCAGGGGTGAATAAGTTAACTGAACTTCAATAGATATGGGTGGGCTTCTTTTTTACCAGTCATGAGCTTAATTATTGTCAGATAAATATAAGTGCCTCTGAACATCACTACATATACATCAGCGTCTTATTTTATGAGTACCAGGGTGTTGTTTAAGTATATTAATTCTTCTGAATGTTGGCTCTTATGATAAAATCTCTGTCATTATCATAAAGGGAAAGGGTGAAAAAGTCAAAAGTTAAACTGGGTCAAATTTTTAAATAAATCATTAAAAATAGAAATATGTACCGTAATTGCTCTTTACATCTTTTCAGGTTTCAGTATCAAAGCTCTGATGTTTGAAGACTGTATTGTTGATGTCAAAGAACTTGGAGGCAAGTAAAGTGATAAGTATATAACCCTAAAACAAAACTGTGTTTCAGTATCAAAAATAAACATTATTTGATGACTCTGTTATATTGATGTCAAGGAAATTTTTAGGCTGCAGTTTATCAGTTCTCTGGCAATAACGCAAGGAACCCTATTTATTTTTGCACGTCCTACATCACTATCATCATTTCTTTGCTTATTTTCTAGCAAGAATGCAAGGATTTGGAAGATATCTTTTGTGCATGGCCTAACTGCTATAGTGGATGTGGTCTTTAAACCCCATATAAAGTTTTGGTACAGTCAAACCTCGTTATCTCGAACTCGTATAACGCGAAGACCCCGTTTAACTTGAAGTATTTCATCGGTCCCGACCAAAACTTACATTATCTTATTAGAACTGTTTCTAGATAAAATACTGTCATTTCAATATTTTGGTCACACTTAAAACTTTACACATGACAGACTTCTGGGCTATGGAAGGAGCCTAGATTGTTCTTTTAGGGTCAGTGATTAGAGATCTTTCAAGATCACAAAAGATGTTGTACTGATATTTTTTCACAGCATCATCGTCCAGCTCCAAACTTCACCTACGTAATCTTCCTGGCCTGAAAAAGACAGGTGTTTTTTTTAAGGTTAAAGGTCAAGGTCACCAGAGAGGGGAACATTAAATTATTTCTGAAAAAACATCTTTCTTGTAAAATTTGATCAGCTTCAAACTTGCAACACGTGAACTTTCATGATTTTAGATATATATAGATATTAGATGTCAGACACACATTTTCCCTGCATTGATCGTATTCATAAAGAAGGAATTATAAAGATGTTTAGAATAGTTGTGCAAAATATTAAATTGAGTGAATAAATCATATAGAAGTTTTAAAGGTAAATAGTAAAGCATATAAAAATGAAACTGACAAATAAAGTTTTTAGAAAACTTGTGTTGACCCTATATTGAATTAAAAATTAGAAACATTTAAACACTAAATGCAGATAAACATAATTAATTGGAGTGCGGAATGAGTTAGTTTTCATATTGTTTTCTTTTGCTTCTAGGTCGTGAATCTGTCCGTCCGTATTGGGACCGATATTATGCCGGAGCCCAGGGAATCATATTTGTTGTGGATAGCACATCTTCTGATGAGAACCTTAAGCTTGCCAGTAACGAATTCCACAAAGCACTCGGTGATCCTGTATTGGATGATCTCCCTTTATTAGTGTTGTGTAGTTACCAAGATAAACAGGACGCAAAATCTCCCTCTCAGGTAAACATGGATATTAGGGCTGTATACTACTTCCTATGATATGTGTCTCCTTTAAAAAAAGACTTCCACACATAAAACGCTAAAATTCATGATATAAGGAGTGTACATTTCTACTAGCCTGGCACCGGAGGGGGGCATTGGGGGGCAGGGCTGGTATATTAAAAATTCGGCTATTGGAATGTTAAAAAAAAAATCATTTAAAAAAAATAGGTCTGGCTATGACAACTTTTCAGATTCTGGGGGTATGTGCCTCAATCAATCATTTCTGAAAGGTTACATATACCTTGAGGAACTTAAATGAAAAAATAAAGAAGAAATAAAATATCAATAGCAATGTTACAAGAAAAAAATGTAACTTGGTCAGACCTGGCCCTCCCATCACAATACAGTCACTTTTACCAACTGAGCTACATACCTGTTCAACAATAGTTCCCTAGCTGAGTCCCACTTCTGTTATATTGGAAATGAAATTAAGGGCAGGGTACTGTACATGTTTTTATTAAAAAAAAACTACAGTGGTATTCCTTATTGTTTTGCCTGCAGTGTGACTTGGATCCTTAATATTTGTTAGTTAATTTTGTTTAGAGTTATTCCCCTTTGTTTCCACAGCTGCAAGAAATCCTTGAGGTAAACCTGGAGGATGGCCACAGGCCCTGGGCCATACGTGGCTGTAGCATCCAAGACAGAGACAGTATCAAACAAAGCTTTGAAGAATTCAACAGATTCCTTTTACATCCTACAAATCATTCGAAAGATCATTCGAACAACAAAGACTTCAGCCGATTGTGAAGGAAAATATTTTATATCTACCAAACAATTCATTTTCTTATAAGTGATTGCAACTACATTCAATATGTTCGTGTTTGTGTTGTGAAGCTGACGGTGATATTCCCTTTTTGCAGACTACAGGTATCATACAAGGCCTCATTTTTACTCATACTTCATTTCATCCAAAAGATAATATCATTATTTTCTACTTTTAAAGTTTTTGAAATAAAACTTTATTCGTTTCAGAGGAGTTTAATATGAAACAAGTTTTTAATTCATGTGAATTATTTTTGTTAACTGGGATAGACGCGTGCTGAGGGTCTTGGTAGTGGTAGTAAAAACCTATTCGGTTGGGCAAATGATCCGACCCCAGCTCTCTTGGTGAAAGGCAGGTGATAAACAACTGCAACCACTGAAACATCTTACCACCTTTTTCTTTGTCTTCAACAAACTGACAGGAAATGCCATCTTTGGTGACACTTAGATTAAGTTTATAGAAAAATCTTCAATTTCCTACATGTTTAAGATGGTTTTGAATATGTTTCAAGGGAATTCTAAAAAAAGAAAGGATTAATCCATTAGTGATAAAACCTTGGTACCCTATTAACGAAGATACCTGTTCTAAGGGAAGCAACTCATCCTGTTCTCAACTCATCTGGGTCGTATCCATGCATCCTGTTTCAAAGACTAGGTGGCTCAGATATATTCTGCAATAAACAAAGGCACTTGGAACCGACTGAAAGCATAGCTAAAAATGTACTTTTGTAGTTTTATGACACATAAATAAAAATCTATTGAGAATTATATGTCCTTCTTTCATACGTCCATTAAATTATGTAACATATCCCAAAATACACATGTAAATTAATCGACCTGAATTTATATAAAAAAAAAGCAAACTTCCAACAGTCAGCATTTAAGTTTCGATCAGGCATGTCTGTACCCCTAGATACATGTACACACGTGGAATATTCCAGAGATAAGTCTCTGCTCAGATCTGAGCCTGTCATTTTCTTTTTTAAGTTTAGCTGGTTGAAAGGGTTGAACCGGACAAGCGAAAGTGGCCCCTGTCTTCTGCAAAACAGAAATATTACACGATGATCTTACCTAAATGTCACATAATGATGTGGAGAGTTTTTTTCACAAGACTTATACTTGATTGGTTGTGATGTTATCTGTTGTGTACTGTTATTGTTTACTTCAATTTCGTACTGCATGTAATTATAAATATTTATGAAAATTTGTACTTAAAATTTTGTATTGTTTTATACAACTTTTTGTATATTATTGTCAGTATTTTTTAATCACTTCATGTTTCTGGTCTAAATAATGAGAATATTCCCTAATCATGTAATCTGATATCCTTATAATTGATTCTTGTTGTAAGTGACGGTGATGTAATGTTATTCAATTTTGAAACCTAATTATTAAAAAATAATATTCATTTAATTTTGTTCAACGTAATATTCTGAATATTGTAGGAAAATTAAAACAGTGATGTTTTATTTATATTCTTAACTTTTAAATTATTTATATACTTAATATTTAGTCAATGAAAAGGGTGATTTTTGTATAAGTATTTTCTTACAGAATCTCAAATGAAATAGACTATTATTAATAGTTCAAGTTGAGATGTTGATGAATATGTTGTAATATTTTTTTTTTATTTACATTCAATATTTATATGCCTTATTACTTATCCCTAATAAAAGAAAAGTCTACTTACTTATAAATGCATGCTAAACATTTATCCTATCAACTTCATCATCTTCATTTTCAAAGTCTTGGTTCTCTTTTATTATCTAAAGAGAAATAACTTGAAATAATTGCTCTTATTTTTCAATTTACTTGATTTTTTTTACATAACTTTGAAATGACTCCAAAATAAAATATGTTTTTAACAAATTACATAGAACGTTATTCATTGAAAAAATCGGGCTCTTGCTCTTCATCAGCCGAGATGAGGAAAAATTGTGTAGAGTTTATGTCATATCCATTTTGAATCACTGCCTTTTGTTGTTGTTTTTTTTATTCAAAATGGACACAATATGTAATCTACAAAATTGTTTTCCTCAATTTGACAATATGAATCCAAATTCTTTTTAATAAGTAACATTTAAGGATTTTTTTTTTTTTTTAATTATGAAAAACATCTTGCTAGACAATGTTTTTGCACGGCTGATCTGCTTTTTATAACAAGTATTGAAATAACACATAAATTGATGGTGTACTATGTCTACAATAGTAAGAACATACTTTTGTCAAAAATTAAACACACAGCAAATCATTATCATTATATTTTACTGAAAGAATAATCAGGTACATATCATGATACAAACAGTGTTACTGATTGTCTTATTAAAATGTATATACATCAGTAAATCTCTCTATCCTTCATGTAACATTAATTAAGCTTAATCTTAATGAATCACAGCATATACAAGCACTTCTGCTATTTTTAATTCCATTTCCAGCTTTTGTACCCATATTTATCCTGCAGTAAGCCCAGAGGGGGGGGGGGGGCAACACTAGTGATGGACAATCAATTTAAAACCATAATCGATAATCGGTTTGGAATCGGAAGTAGTAAACCAATCGATGATCGATTGCATAATCGGTTCATAATTTTATGGGACTGAATACCCAAATTTAGTCGAGAACACTACTATAACATCAATAGACAGAGTTGTTAACTATAAACTAGGTTTCATTCTTTTATAATGAATGAATTTCAAGCAGTTTTAATTCAGTTTTATCAATCATATACAAAAAGTTATAAGATTATATAATGACTTTCAATGCATTTTTTACATTGAAAACATTAACACTTTGATTTTAATGGAGAACCGATTATATCAATAAATGGAATTTGTAATTGATAATCGGAATCAGAAAGATCAAATCCATCGATCTTCAATTATACTATAGTTGATCATCAGTCCATTACTACTAGCCAACACATATTCTCTGACTCAAAGTAGGGGGTGGGCTTATTACAGGACAATGAAATAATAACTTTGTTTTTTTACTCGACTTCAATACTTATGGATGGGCTTATTACCAGACATGGGCTTATTGCTGGATAAATACGGTAATTTTATAGTTATCTCCGAGTCCTGCTTCATGTCATCAAATATCAAAATTGAAAGAAAAAACTATCGAACAACTACGTTTGTATATCGTTAATTTAACTACCAGGGTATTTTATAAAAGCAATTGCATTTATTTTGATCGATTGATTTGGTTTTCATGTATTTGCCACGGTTCATATGATAATAGGCCACTTGTTATGTCACCCATGATAATGCCAAAATCATGTCTTTGGACTTCACGTCTTAGATTTCAAAATAGCACTGTATTGTTGTACGGAAGACTATACACACTGTCAAGATGTTAAAAAAAAGAGTTTTTTTCCTCTACAAATATTCATATTACCAGTAATGCTTGTTAATATGATAAAAAGTAACTTGAACTTTTTTCCTGTTTCATATCAGTTCAATCATCCGAAAAGTTTCTCTTAGATCAGTAAACTCCAGACTCGATAAACTGAAAAATAATATATACACCCATTCCATTAATTTCCAATACTTTTTCATATTAAGCAATGGATAATGTGCAATTGATTTTGAAAATATGTATCATATTTTTAGGAACACAGAGAATTAATAACAGTATACATTACAGTTATAGGTAGGCCCATAGCCTGTCATAGTGAAAAACACTAGGTCTATGGGAATCACTGGCTTCATAGACTAAGTTGTCTATGAATTTATTTCCTATGATGTATAATGTACGTTGTGTATGATGCAATGATAGGTATGGTAGTGAAAGAAAAAGTACTCCGCCAAATTATAGTTCTATTACTATTTTATAAAGTCACCTGAGACAAAGTCTCAAGTGACCTATTCTAATTGTCTTTTGTCCGTCGTTGTCCATCGTGCTTTGTCTTTCTGTAAACAATTAACACTTTTTCGACTTCTTCTCACAAACCCCTGAACCAATTACAATAAAATTTAGCAGAAAACTTTCCCGGCCAAAGATGCACCAAAATTGTAAATTATATTCTGTAGTCCCCGTCCCTAGGGGCGGGGCCAAAAGTGGTCAAATTGGCTTAAATTTCAGCAATTTTCTACTTAAGACCCAGTTATGCTGGAAACAAATACTCTTCATAGCTGAAAGGGTCTTGAGGTGCTTTGTCAAAACTGTGAATTTCATTTCCCCCAGGGTTCACCTTCGCCCCTGTGGAGGGGGTGAAGTTTACTATAGTTTATATAGGAAAAATATACTTTTGGGTATATTTTGTTCATTTTCAATTGAAAATAATTTAAACATGATATATTATAACCCTGAAAGGACAGTTTGACACTGAAAATTCTGAGCCTGGCACACCCCAAGGGGCTGAGGGGCTGTCTTAGGGCCCAAAAGGGTCAAATTGGTTTAAAATTCAACAATCTTTTCTTCAGAACTAGTTATGCTGGAAACATATGGTATTCCTCATACATGGAAGGGTCTTGAGGTGCTTTAATTGTCAAAATTATGAACTTCATTACCCATGGGCTCCACTTTCATCCCTGGGGATGGGCTAAAGTTAATTATAGTTTATTTAGGAAAATGATACTTTTTGGAATACATTATTCATTTTCTATTGGAAATAATTCAGACCTAATTGGAATTATAATCATGAGATGAAAGTTTGATGCTATGGTGAAGGCCCCAGGGGCCTCTTGTTACACACCTTTTCTTTATTTCATGTTTTTAAACACTAAATATATAAGAGAACATTTCTTGGTAAATGTCTGGTCTATCAAAATTTCTTTCGGCCAATAAGAAATCTAAATCTCATAAACCGTTTGTTTATGGTGTTATATAAATCCTAAATTCTAAGACTGTTTGTATGAATATTTATTTCTGCAGTCGAAGCAATTTTAAACGGAGGAATATTTTTAGTCTGACATATATAACGAGATGAATAAGGGATCTTACAGTAATTTGATGATCTTTATCGTCTGATCAAACTTTGTGTAGTGTTTGTAACTATGTTCAGGACATATGTTATTTTACTAAGGTATGCATCTCCATTCCTTTCAAAAAGAGTTCCACTCCAAAGACACCCAACTCGTTCACCCCAGAAATTTCAAAATGAACTATTCCAATCTTTGAATTGGAAGAGTTCAAATATGTCTTCAGGAGTGAATGAGTTAAAGTATCTTATGTATGGATAATTAGTGCTTTGATCTCTGCTATGAAGTTAATTCATTCATCACTCCTTTTAATCATTTACTAGAAAGCATGCATTGAAAATGCTCAGATCACTTTGAATAATGAGATATATATAGATAAAACAAAACCCCTTAATTGTTTATAAATTAAGATGTTCTTTCCATTAAATATGACGGATCATGAGAATATTACGAAGAGAAAAGCACTACACTTTCGCAGTTTTTGCAGAGAGTATTATGAGGTTCAGTTGATGTGATAATCCAATACAAAAAATGGGGAAAATATTAACCTACTGTTTCTAAAAATAGTAACACAAGAGTTAATATCACAAATCACTGACACCCACATGATTATAATCTAACAAATGAGAATGCAGCAAAAAACGTGTCATCTAACATCATCCAGCTATCCTTTTTGGTTATTGTGTTATAACACTTCATGTACAAGGATGTTTATCATTGTTATTGTATGTTCATCAAGTCCAGGCTCAGTTTCAGAAATCCCAGGTACTCAGGAATAGAACATTTTATGAGTCTTTAGATAGACATCCAATTGAATAGCTGAATAAAAATGATATCCAAAATCGTCACAGGAACTAAATTGGTGCTTGGGTGAAATTCCTGCTTAAAAATAGTTTACATAACAAAATAGTGTATTTAAACATAGATTTTCATTGTACATTGTGACATTTATCCTTTTCAGTAAAATCATGCAATGCTTGCCATTTTTACGCAAAGTTTTCCTCTATGAGAGGATTAAATGTTAGCTAGTAGGTGATGGATCTGTAGCTGTAGTGATAGACCAGAATCTGTTTTTTTAGATAGATAAATTAGTAATATCATGATAACCATATATACACTGGAAATTGTAAATATTGGCATATCTGTTATTTTAATTCTAATATTTCTAATATTTTAACATTTTCATTTCACATCCATGTTTACTATATTTCCATGTTATTGCTATTTCACAAAAGATTCCAAGATTCAAATTTCTCAATTTGCTGAACTGGATATTTTTCCTTTTTCAAGAGAAAATATTTTTCTTTGATTTTGTGAAAAAAAATTGAATGAAGTATATGAAGCTTGATTAAAACATTTGTCCTCCACAGAAAAAATATTGATAATGTCGCGTTTGAGATCATTGTTTACGACTGCTGTACAATCGAAAATGTCCATAGAATTCATTGCTGTATTGAAAATATTATATGTATTGTGTTCTCGGATTTATTAAATATATTGCATATTAGATATTGTAGATCCTTAACTCATTCAACCCTGAAATTTCAAAATGAACTATTCCAACCTTTGAATTTGAGGAGTTCAAATGTGTCTTCAGGGGTGAATGAGTTAGCTTGTCCATTCATTTCGTCCAAGAATAAATCCCCAGTACGAACAGATGGGCCAGACACAAAGTGCTATATTTTTACAATGACTGTTATAATAAAGGTTAAAAAATGGTCTTTGCTCCTGTAAATGAAGGGATATCAGTCTTTTCAGTCTTTTGATCAGATGGTGTTAACTGAAAGTTTTTTGAATATTTTTATGGTAACAGTTCTGAAAGGTTTTTGTTCATGTTACGAAAGAGATATATTTCTCGGAATATATATAATAATGCATATCTATATGGAATTTATTTGTCTGTATTGAATGAATTTTGATCCATCATTGCCTTTATTTTTGACACCAAAAGTGTTGGGATTTTTTATCTGCAGAAATGTTTATTAGTAATAACTCTCATTGATATAAGCCACTTCAAAAATAGGCTCAATTTTAGAATGACTGAAAATTTTGGCAACATTTAAAAGAATGATAAAACAATTATTTCAACATTAATAACTATATGATATATATATAAATTTTTTCACAATGTCATCCTTAGTCTTTGTTATTGATGAGACAATTAATCCTTTCACTACTGTAGACCATAATGGACTCTCTCAGATAAATGAATGGTAGAGTCTAGTAAAGTTACCTAGGGGTGAAAGGGATCCCAGTACCACTGCCAAAAACTCTCATTACGCATTGGAAACTGGTTATTTCAGCATCACTGTAGCTTTCATAAATCATTTCTAAAAAGAAAACCACATGATTGTGGCCTTTCATGAAAAAATGATAAAGATGAAGTAAAGAAAATATAATAATCAACAATGCTCTGAGATTCGAACCCTGAACTTCAGATTGTTATGCTGTCAACCTGACTGAGGTACATGTACTGGGTCAACAAAAGATTCTTGGCCCAGCTATACTACCGTTATATCCAAAACGAAAATAAGGAGATGTCACTGAAAATATATGTAAAAACATCAATGCAGTGGGACAGGGCTCCTTAACTTGTAAAATAAGTTGGAGTAAATATCACCTGTGTGGAAACCTGTATTACCTGTCTGGAAACGTGTATTATTGAGTGTATCTTGTCACAATTTCTATTTAAAATCGTGAGAAATAGTTACTTTTATATTTTTGTACTTATCTGTTCACAGTTGTTTTTTTCATGTCTCTAATATATCTGCGTGTACATGTAGATGTTTGTCTTAAAGTCAAGTATATTTATCATGTAAAATTGTAGATTATATGTACATACTTGAGGAATATTGGATTACCTCCCCTGTTCAGGTTATAGGAGGAGTCATGATTAAACGGAATTCACCTGCCAACGCAAAGTTATGTATTGGAAACATGGCAAAGTAACTCTTATTTGTATGGTTTGTGTGGTTAAATAATCCATTTATTAACTCATGTGTTGGCAAGAAGAATTGCCTCCCCTTGACTCATAGGTTGCTTCAAGTGTTGATATCATGGGGAATTACCTCCCTTTGTCAAATTATATGTTATTTTGGTTATTTCTCTCTGTTAAATCATAAATTAGTTACAATTTTATGGAAAAGTATTGTTACATTTGTAAACACCTCCCCTTGTCAATGTTTGGATAAATTTGTTTGTAAGTAAAAACCTTATGAAAGAAATAACCTCCTTGACCAGGTTATGACATTCAGTACGATTTAACTGTAAATTGGCCTATAAGACGCAACCCATCATAATTATCTCCCCTTTCAATAGGATATCGTAGTATGTTAATTACCAGATTAACATCTCATTGTCGAAGCAAAAGGAAGTACATTAGAATACCAAATAATCTCAACTTCCAAAAGCAGAGGAAAACATTAAATCACCT